TAAAGGAACATTGTGGTGATGGCAGTGGCGTAATAAGGGTAATGAGGTTAGAGAGATGGGAGGTGTGACGTAATAAGGGTAACGAGGCTAGAGAGATCGAGGGGAGGTGTAATGAGGGTATACTTATGGCAAATGTGTCATTTAAGAATTATGATATTTTATAATTTAAATTAATATAAAATTGAAGGGCAATTTTGACATTTTACATTTTTAAGGGGCTATTTGGATCGAATTTCTAATAAGGGGGTGATTATCCAAAAATAAGACAACTTATATATGTATGTCCTTATCCCAAACCTCATGTCATTCTACTTTACCCTTTATTTTAAAAAGAAAAAAAAGTTACTATAAACCACTGTCTTGGGGATTCCAGTTTGAATTTTCTTTTTTCTTTTTTCTTTTTTTCTTTTTTTTGAAAATAATAAATATGATAAGAATAATAATCTCAGTAGCTTTCACTTGTTACTTGCTTTTGATGTGCACCACAAAAAGGCCATTTTTGATTTAAAACTTACAATTGAATGAACTCATTTCTGACACTGTCTGATCATATGAACGGATCTCTTATTTTTGCAAGTCAAGGAGGCGGTGGGAGGATGAGATATTGAGATCCATATCTCATAGCCAGGGACGGAGTCAATTAAGGTCTAGGAGGGGCACGTCCCTCCCGGATTGTCTCCCTCTCTTATATTCTATATATATTTTATAATAATATATATGTTTTTTTAATGAAAATATGAGAAGTGCCCCCCCTTAATTTTCTCATTCTCCGTAGAATTCTATATATGTTTCACATTTTTTTATCCTAAATTGTTTCCTTAATCCTTATATTCTATATTTATAAATTAATTTAATTCCAAAAATATCATTATCTCTTTCTATATATATACTCATAAATATCGACTTATATACATGTACATTATATTATAAATATATGATATGATATATAGTACTATAATGTGCCCCCTGAAATTTTTTTCTGGCTCCATCCCCGCTCATAGCTACAGGCAAGGCCCCAATATGGTCCCTCCTTTGCATACGTCAACATTGATTTGTTTAAACTAATAGCAAATTAATATACATAATACATTATACATATATGTATATATATACTTTCCTTACAATGAAAAATTTGGATATCTTTCAATATTAGATATCTTATGATTCTAAGTTGTCTTAAATGGCCGTAAAATATGTGTATGTATCTGCACATAAAATATATAATATAGGGATGAATTGTATATGATAAATTTTAGACATTATAACAATTTGGCAGCTTGCCAACCAAGAAAAAAACAATTTGGCAGCCACTATTGAGTCAGAAATCTGGAAAAATATGATATATGGATGTGGTTGTCATCAGGGTGGAAGTTATGTCACAATTAGGCAGAAGACATAATTTGGGTATTGTATACAAGTGTGAGGTGTCTTGTGCTGAACGAATTCATCATTGCTATGATTTGGGTGGACACAGACACGTGGGTCAGCATGTGACAGCAATTGGAAAAGAAAAGGAACAATTATTTTTTTTATTTTTATTTTGGGTAAGCTTAAATAAATAAATAAATAAAATAAAAAGCAAGTTATGAGACTCAAGTTCTTACATAAGCTCGAGAAACAAAGGAGGTCAACCTCTAAATCCAAAAAAAATGAATGCATCAACTATGATATATAGGCCGCGACTTATATCTCATTAAGTATTAATTATCATTACGGCTGAAATGTCATTTGAAAAAAAAAAAAAAGGGGTATTTTGGGAGATCTCATACAATTAACAATGAGAAATTTTTATGTTAATTGACATAGTACAACAAACGATTACAAACATTTTATCAAAACACATATATCAGCTTTTTGATTCTATTGTATGTGGTGATCTTATAGGCAAGTCTGTGTAAGCCTATACAGGTGGCACCAGTAGGCTACTACATCGGGTGAGTTACAGTTGCACATTTCTACATCGCCTGAGTATGAAAGGAGTAAGTGCTATATGTAGATTCAACACCTTTTTATGACACAACACGTTTTAAAACAATAATAACCTTGAATTCACTAAAACATCAGAGTTAAAACGTGTTTAATCTGAAGTCTCTGGTCCGGCCGGGGTAGCCTAAAAGTGCACAATATTGTGTCTAACTGGGGTGAGAGTTGTTACAATGTAGATCTACTTTGTTTTGTTGGAGTTAAACTAAGTAATTGTTGCTACTATTCCAATTAATAATTTCTCATTAACACCATCCTAAATATTTGACTATATACTCAAAATAATACCTTTCTACCTCTTAAAATGAATGGTTAAAAAAATTGACTATAATATTATCTACCTAATGATTTTCGGAAAATTATGGAATTTGCTTTTATGATCATGTGATATTTAATTCATCAACATCAACTTATTAATATATAATACACAAACTGCGAATGTTGACTGTAACTCAAGATTACCTTTTGGGTTTAGCCATAATTAAATAGAATCAGCTTCTAATTAATAATAAATATATATATTATTACCTTTTGTTGCCTGGTGGATTGCCATTGATTAAAGGTCGGACATGAAGCAACTGATAAAGGCAAAAGGAGCTTCTCTTTGAATACTCTCCAGACTAGTGATAAAGATGTTTTATGTCCCACTGTTAACACCAACCACTGCGTGAGAGATTGGGAATGAGAGAGTACATAACTATTACTATAATCCGTTTAAATATTCTTAAACTTTGTTTGGCATAACTTTTATTTTTACTTAATCAAAAGTAAAATAGAAAATTAATTTTAGTGAGTATGACAATTTGTGAAACTTAAAAGCGTTGTTCACCTTTCTAGTCGGCAGAAATAAAGTGATAGTTCCCTTTTCATTATAGAATTTGGGAGAGCTTCAAATATATGCAGTTTTATCACCATATAAAAAAATTATTTTTAATTTTAAATTCGTGAGAATTAGGCTACAGTAATACAACGTTACCACTACGCAAAGGTGCACGCTCTTTTTGGTAAGTAGAGATAAAGTAAAATTTTCTCTCCACCCAAACAGAGTGCTAATTGTAATACCAAAGTTCCCTTTTATTTGGTCATGATAAGTCGAAAATTTAAGAAAAACCCAAATTTTCTTGGGTAAATAGGGTTTAATGGGTATAATGGTTGACCCAAACTCAATCATCTGTATAGAACTCCCAACCTAAATTTGAGCCTAACTTGACATCTAACAGGAAGAACTTGTCTTCTAAGCGAGCTTATTTTTTCGAACTCGAATTTAGCTCAAATCATTCTCGTTGGGATCAAATTATGTTTTTTTTCCTATATAATAAACAGTGTGAAACAGCTTGAAAAAGGATCTCAAAACATAATCACAAATATTTCTAACACCTAAATACAATCAAATATTTAAAAAATCAAACAATAATATATCTCTTGTTTTTTTGGATAATAATAAGAATGATTAATTACTATTTTACCTTACAAGTTGGGTTGAAATTGTTCAGTATCTCTGTTTATACCTAACTTCAATTAAGATTGGTTACTAAGTTTCAAATTATTATTATTATCACCCGATTTTCAATTTTTATATTATTATTGTTATTTTTCTGAATTGAAAAATCAACTCATCCACTAACTATTCTGAATGATCTGCAAATTCAGAGAGTTCGTAATTATTCGCAAGCCACGTGCACGCCTTTAAAGGGGCTCGAACCAAAAATACCTAATGGCTAATTTGGTATGAAGGAATGAAATAAGATAGGAATGAAATGAATCAAAAAATGAAAATTGAATGGTTCTCTTGTTTGGTTATGCTAATTTAAAAAGAAAAACTAATCTATATATATGTAAAATAAATAAATAAAAATATATATATATTTATATATACGTAAATATATATTTTGGAAACTAAGGGGGAATATCAAGAGAAGTTGCCTTTTATTGAATCTCTCTCATCGATGTGGAAATTTACTCTCGTTTTTTAGTCAAGAATACAATCTCAACGCCAATCACTGTCGATGGATGCAAATCGCCGGCTTATTGGTAGTCGACGACTTCAATGAATACAAATCGCCAGTTGATATTGGATTGATAGTCGATGGACTTCAATGGATTAAATCGTTGGTTGATATCAAATTGATCGATCTACTTTAATGGTTGATTTTCGGCTGATTTTGGATTCGTTGTTGACCATCTTTAGTGGTTGATTTTAACATTGACCGCCTTCAATGTCGATTTCTAATGTAAAACTGATGGGGCTTGAGTTGTTTGAGAAAAGTGTATTAACAATCATATCGTTCAAGTAAATCAATTTTTTATATTATTTTTAATCCGTATTTTTTTAAGTGGGAATAGAATATTCATTCCTCTTGTTAGAAAGTGAAATGATTTTTATAAAATGACCACTCTCGAGAAAGGTAAAAAATGGGCATTCCATCTTTAAAAATACTTTTCAAACAATTTATTTCATTCCCACTTACCAAACTAGCCCTAAAAATAATGCTATTATGAGAGCAGTCTCATATAAAAAGGCATCAGCTCTATTTATTTAACCATGATTAAAATATATTTTTCTAAATGTGTAAAAAGTCAAATTAATCATTTAATGATTCTTTCAATTTATTAATTTAGAAGAATGACAAGAAACACAAACCCTCTTTGTTTAACAACAACGTAAGACTATGTAATAGCATTACTCACTCCTAAAAACCTTATCCGATAATATTAAACATTAAAAAGATCAGGCATAACTCCCACCATGGATGAGGGTTAAATATAGTATATACCCAGCATACAAATAAATAAAACCACCTTCCATTAACCAAATTAATTTGACAAATCGACCAAAATAACATTGCTTATAAAATAATCTTTACCATTGGCACAAGGCTCTTCCTCCAAGAACCATTCTTCAATCTAAATCCAACCAAATGGAGACCAGCAAAACAGCGACCATCATAATAGCTCCACACTATGCTTTTTAATCATAAGACTTTTTAACTTCCCTTTCCTAGGGCCCACTCTTTAGTTCATGGCAAACACTTTTCAGCTCTTCCAAACTACCGACCACCGAAAGTTTAGTACATCTAATCTTATCACCAAACCCGCAAAAGATTACAACTTCATCATAGGATTAGATTTCACATATAAGTATATGCATTTACTTATTAAATATATATCTATATATAATATGGTTTTTGAAAGGTTATTCATGTATAATATGTTAATCACACAAGATCGCAACACCACCACACATGTATTTGTCTACACATCTAGACATGTACATATATATAATCAAATGCTTCCTTCGTCTTTAGATAAACGCGTTATATAAGCAGGGCTGCACGGAGGTTATGAAACCATTGTCCCCATAATCAGGATAATGTTTTATTACTAATATATATATATATATATATATATATATATATATATATATTTTAATATTTATTCAACAAATGTTGTTGAATTGTAGTCATGGAAACTCGTGAATTCAGCTCCACCTTTGACTCTCTCTCACTATATATAGACATATATACACATGTAGTTTATACATTGATTGTGTAACAAATCCTCACCTCAATTCATGGGGGTTACAAGCACTAGATTGTAATATGTATTTGTACTTTCTTTTATGTCTCTCTGTTGTTGGGACTTTTTTTTTTCTCTCTTTTATGTAAATAGTTGGAGAGCTTAGTTGAACCTTTTTCAGAGTAGTTGTTAAGTTAGTTCTTGACAGAGTGGATCTGAGGTTGCAAGGTCAGTACAAACTCTCTCTCTCTCTCTCTCTCTCTGTGAAACTGAATGAGCCCATTAGGTGTTCTATAATATGTGTCAGAGACCTTTGATATGTTTTTTCAAACTAATCTATCAAAATCTCAATTGGGTTTCAACCCTTTGTAGTATACTCTTCATATATCTTATGCTTAGTCTCCATTGATTGTCTATGAAATGGGCATTGGAATGTTTATTGCTTCATGCTGAGTTTGCTTTTGATTCAAAAAATCTGATAGACATTTACATTTTAACAGAACCAAGGGACTCATAAGGAATTTAGTTGATATATAATGGAGGGTGGTCAGTATTTGGGTTTGAAGAGGAACTCTTACAATTGGTTAGAGAATGTAGAAGAGAATGAAGAGATGAAAGTGACATTACCTTCAATCCCTCAGCCACAAACACCAAAAGAGCCCATGGAGTTCTTGTCAAGGTCTTGGAGTCTCTCCGCTACGGAGATTTCGAAAGCTCTTGCGCATAAACAGAAATCCTTTAATCTTGATGACAATTCTAATGTGATACCATTTCCTGAGATAAAGGCTGCACCACAATTTGTTGTAAGCTGTCATTCCATCTTTTTCTATTCTTACTGTCTAATACTTGATTTTCACTTTTTTCTGCTGATTATTTTTGGTGCCTAGTGTATTCATATATAATTCCATAATTTGGTGAAATTAAGGAATGATTTGCTAGATTTGTTTAGGGCAAAAGGAATTGGATGATCTCGATTTGCTGTTTATTGTTGGTGTTGTGTGTGTATAAGTCAGAAGAGTGAGTTCATTTTTCATTCAGAATCTTTCGGAATTAAAAAGCATTCTTTTTTTGAATAATACTATTTCTCCATTTGAGGGACATGTATTCAAATATGAGTGTGGTAACTGTCCACAAAGTTGTGAAAAAAGAATCTAGGGACTGCAGATGGATAGAGCACCTAGAATGAGTGTGATTCCAATTTGAGATTGTAAAATTAACGAATTCACTCTTTGTGGTTCTGTTTGTGTTTTATTTTGTTCTATTATATTTTTTGCAGCCAGGCAAGGTCAAAAATATGGCAAACACTAGGAGAACAGGGTCATTTGGAAGGTGGTTCCATCACAAGGAGCTCAGCAATAGCGCGGTTAAGAGAAAAGACAAGGCACGTGTAGATAATGCAAGGACGCATGCTGCCCTCGCCATTGCCAGCCTAGCTGCAGCATTGGCTGCCGTGGTTGCAGAAGAGAACTCCAAAAGCTCCGGCTCAAAAACAAGTGTTGCATTGGCATCGGCTACACAACTTCTTGCCTCGCATTGCATAGAGATAGCTGAATCAAGCGGAGCTGATCATGATCGTATGGCTTCTGTTGTCAGATCGGCTGTTGACATTAGAAATCCCAGTGATCTCGTCACTCTCACAGCTGCAGCTGCAACTGGTACTTGCTCCAAATTTTTTGCTTTCCATATTTTGAAAAAAATATGTTAGCTCTGCATATTGGGACGAAACATTGTATGACCTATTGAGAAAGTAACATACCATAAAAGACTTTCTTTTTTTTTTTTTTCACATTTTGCATGTCCAAAAAATCAACTATTTTTAACTGCTTATATCAGGACTCATTTAGGATATTCGCAATGTTCTTTCATCATTCTGAATAATTTCAAAATAACAACACATGCATCATGCATCATGCATCTTACATTACCTCGGCTTGATTTGTTATCCCAAATAGTTCAGAACTCCAAATTATTGCAAAACATTGTGAATTTCTTTCTAGTAATTTGACTACATTTTACATTCTTCTAACATTATATTTTTCCTCTTCTGAATCAGCTTTGCGAGGAGAGGCAGCTCTAAAAGCAAGATTACCAAAAGATGTAAAGAAAAATGCGGCTATAAGTCCCTATGATAAGGGTACGGCTGAAGCCCCCTGGGCTTCTGAATTCCACAAAGAAATGGAAGGTCATGATACACCCTGTATAGGTGAATTACTGCAACATACACGAAAAGGTAATCACTGTTTAAAAGTTTGTCTTTAAGATCAAGTTTATTTGATTGAGGAATTCTTTTATCAAGGATTGCATTGCCTTGCTGTGAGGTGTTGAATTCAGAAAGGAATATACAGATTTTCACATTATTTTTTCATCCCCTGAAATGTCGGGAACTATGCATATAGGTGGTAAAAGAATTTAAAAGAATGAATAAATTTGAAGTTTGAAATGAAATACTGTAACAAGAATCTGCTATTTCAGGAATTTTTTAAATTCTTCTTCTCATGATGTGATATTTCATGCACACTGGTTTATGGGATCGCCTAGTTTCAAACCATATTTTCTTCATTCTCTCACTTTCTTGCTTCTTTATTATCTTTTTTTCTTTTTTCCGTGAACACTAATTGTTCCAAAAGCCGGTTAATTTAAAGTAAAACTCAGACCCTCTATCGTTTTCCCTTTTTTTCTTTTTTCTTTTTTCTTTTTGTTTCTCTCTTTTCTTTTCTTTTTTTTTTGTAAGGGAGAGCGTCCTTGCCCCACTCCCTTTGAGAAAGGGATCCCCCGGGCCTTTACTAAATTATTTTTCTATTGTGGCAATATTTTCACCAGCTGTAGGAACCTCTATGATTGCTAGACAAAAAGATGTTTATGATAATATGTCTTATCATCATTTCACTTGCTAAATCAAATGCATTTGCTATTGATTACTCTCAGGAGCATTACAATGGAAGCATGTCTCTATCTACATCAACAAAAAATCTCAGGTACGGAACATTATTGTTCTCTGGTGGCAAGAGTGTACACTTCCAGTCACTCTATAACAAAATGTTGCATTGATATCTGATACAAGTTTTTGGCAGGTCATTGTTAAGCTCAAAAGCAAACATGGTGGAGGGGCCTTCTCCAAGAAGAACAAATGTAAGCTTTAAGCAATTACATTTCTGCGCATTTAGTTCAATAAATTTAATCATATTAGTTTCTAGCTTTTTGCTTTTTCATATGCTTCCTTGATGATTTAAAATTCCTAAATTTTTGTTCTTTCATTGTTATCTCGTTGTCAACAAATTAGATATAAAGTTCAAAGAAATGTGTTCTTACTTCTCATTTGACATCCATGCTGGTTACAGGTGTAGTTTATGGAGTCTGTGATGAGACTGCTAATTGGCCATTCAGATTAGAAAGAGAAAACATGGAAGCCTGTTTTGGCCTTAAAACCGCTCAGGGTCTTCTGGAGTTTTGGTGCAATAACAAGATGCATAAACAGAAATGGGTTGATGGGATTCAAAATCTTCTTCGCCAAATCAGTTGCAGTGAAGACACCGAGCACTCTCTGAAATTTTTAAACATTCATAAGAGCATATGACTTATTGGTGCATGTGATAGTTTACTAATTAGAGGTTGAATACTTGGATTAAATCCAAAGCTTTTATCAACTCCCAAAATCTCAAATGTGTGTTCTATAAGCAGCACATTGAGTATATAGCTATTCCTGATGCAAAAATGTGGCGGACTAGGGCAGAATCGTGCATCGGCTGAATTGAGTACCTGGGCTGCAGATCAATGGAAAGATATTCACCTATGATAATTATTCAAAAGCTTTGTTCAGATGCTACAATCTTCATGGTTTGGAAAGAGAGAAATATAGATTTTTTTTTTTCCTAGGTAAATTTTGAACGTGGCAAGAGTGAATATATGATCTATGTAGCTAAAGAACCCTCTAGCAAAGTATGCACATTGTATGTAACAAATTTTTGATAATGCGAATTTTTTTTTCCCCCTAGTTTTTGATAATGTGATTTAGCCAGCCAGTTGGTAGTGTCTCTAAGCGTGCTTTGCTGTTTGTGAGCCAGTTATGTCTTTCTTCTCGGACTTTTTTGCATTTGGTTATTTGGGAGGGCTGTTATCTTTTTATGTGAGAGGTCCTCATTGTAAATGCAGTTATATATATTGTTCTTCTTATGTCTCGTCCAGATATATGGCATGCTAGCTGTTTCTCCTTTTCTCCGGGAACTAGAACACTAACTTGAAATATGACAGACTAGGTTAGCAGCACTCTTTTCTCTGGTTCATATTTCGTTCAAAACATGAATTTATCAGTTCAAGTCCATGCTCAAATTCTCTCCCAGAATATAACTCATCACTAATGTTTGGCCAAGTTGAGAGGCAAATGAAATCAATCCCATCTCTCTTAGCAAGTGAATCTCTTAAATCTCCATCCAACTACCTGGAAAGTGGTCCAATTCTACACCCCTAAACAGATGAACAAACAGTAGTGAGTAGCCGTAACAGGCACCACCTCCACCACGACGGCACCGCCCTCATTTTATATCCGAGTCCTGTCAATCAAACAAATAAAGATCAAAGCCAAAAAAATAAAGGAAAGGATGCACCATCCTCCCAGCAATATGTTAATGATCTTGACAATAATTTTCCACAAATTATGCTCTCAACTTATATTTGGTGCAGAAGGAATAAGAACATATATGCATTTTAAATTCTGTAGCTGGTTGACATTAAACATTTATATTGAAATTTTCAATTGATAACCCTTTTCAGCAGCCGCCTTCTTTTTTTTTCTTTTTTCTTTTTAAATAAATAGAGAGAAATAACTGTTTTCCTCTTCAATTAACTCCAAACATATAAGTCTTGCCTTTACAAGCAATTGTTTGCCAAGGTGGACAGATTTGTGCTCATCCTAACTTTACTTGTGAAGTTTTAGTCCAAACACCAGTTGCCGACTTCTTCTGTAAAGTGAATGATCCTAACACCCTTGTCCAATTGCCCTTTTGCCAACATCTACCCTTTATGAACACAAAAAACCATTTTCAATGGTTGATAGATTCTTCATTGGATGCAACCTGAGAATTATTTCCTCGCAACGCCAAGCACGGGCCACCATGAGAATATAGCAGAGCATGAGAACAGAGCAAATCCACCATGAGAATACAGCAGAGTATGAGAACACAGCAAATCCACCGGATGACTGATGCTGAATAGGGCCCCTCCGAGACACTTCAGCTCAGTTTATTCAAGTCTTTAATTATTACAGTAAGAATCTGATGCTTTTGTGCAGCATACCAGGTAAGCTTTGGCTAATTTTTATGGAGGTTTGATATAATTGTGTCCCCTACAAATGGCACAAATACATGATGCATCGATGCACCATACACATGCTGGATGTGATGAATCATGCCACCACCCTGGTGCTTCTAGCCTTCTCCCCTTCTCCCACTCAAATTCAATCCTCACGTCCAAGGCAGGACCCGAGTTCTAGAAAGGAACTTCGTGTGCGTGCGTGTGTGTGGGCTAAAGAAACACAACGAGATTTCATATCATTGTAGCACAATGGATAAGTGCTTACATGGAAACCTCTCAAAGGTGTACCTTAAGAGTTGGTAAGACTTCTACCATCAAAACTCGGAATAAGAATGGTTACAACCAAAAATACACAACCATCCTCTAGATGTTGGGACAGAATCATCAGTGCTCACATCACCTGCACACACATACAATTCAAATGCTTTCTCAAAAATCAAGCACATTTTATGCCAAAGAGTAAGAACACATCACAGTGGGTTTAGCTTGGCGGTCGGATGGCAGCGTGGTCAGTTACAGTTTCAGCTGCCCAAAACAATTCACATTCGAACACCATGCCAAACATAGAAAAAAATTCATGTTTAAGCAATTTATAAAAAGCAATGCATAAACCAACATTTCCATACGTATGAGTCTAAACCATTTAGCTGGAACATGTTTAAGATGTCTTACAAGCAACAAAATTTCAAACTCAGATAGGAGATATTGCTGTCTTTCAAACAAAATCCAGATAGCAGTGCAAAAAAAACCAAGATATATCAGCAAAATCAACGGTAACGGCGGAGGGAGAGGGTGTTGTTTCTCTTCCAGGTTGCCCTGCGAGAAGGACGCGCCTTGTGGTGCCTGTGTCCCTTTCCACGTAGACCCCTGTATTTCTTTCCTGCAGAAGTGAGACCGCGGAGTTCCCTGTGCTTGTGTACAGGGTTGCAGATCCAGTTGATTCTTGGGTCATTTCGGATGGCATTATGAGCAGGATCAACCAGGATTACCTCGAAGTACTTGTAAGTTGAATCCTACATCAAGACATCCAAGTATGAAGAACCATAATGAAAACAAGATAAATAAAAAGGGAACACAGCAACAAATAATTGAAGTTAAGATACAAACCTCATTAATCCAGTACGAATTGACAACCTTAAGACCACCCAACTTTCGACCAGCACGTTCCTCTGCAACTGACCTCTTGCTGCGCTGGAACTTCAGTTGGGTAACACCCTGGTTTGTGGGCTTACCATACACAATACCCTTGGGAACTGGCCTCTTGCGGCCACCTCGCCTAATACGGACACGGTAGACCACATAGCCCTAATGACAATTTCAATAATTTTATTATCTCAGGACAAATTTCCAAAGGACAAACGGTAATGCACAACCTAAATCCATCAGCAATGGTTCAAGCACTGTGACAACAGAAATTGTGAGCAGCAGTGCCCTGTACCATTTTCAAAATGCACAGGCCTACACGCAATTCATGTGCACTAACATGCATGCATGCAGAAAGTAATTAATGTACAAAAACAAAAATCAATAAACAGCTGAAATTGATTATACAGATATGCTAGGGAAATTCTCATAAAAGGGTAAAATGCAATTTTACATGACAAAATGTAAAACGGTTCCGTTATCTCATTGGTTCATCATAGTAAAGCACAAATCACGCAAACCAGTACCTACTGCTACATTTCTTATAGAGTTAGAGGCAATAACAACATCTCACTCTACATATCCTCTATCTCAATACCAAAAGCTGCTTAGTTGATTGCTTAAACCACATTTAAAAATTTGAGTCAACACAACTCCAAAAGATATCATTTCAAAGACTACACATCCCACAAATAGAACTTTTCAATTGATATAACCCACGGATTGGACAAGAAAAATCAAAACATGTAAAACAACCTTTTGATGACTAATAAAAAGGGTAAAAACCATTATATAGAAGGTAGTTTGGACAGACATTTGCTTCACATATAATGGCAAAGCAAATATATTTAGTCATCAATCTATACATAAGATCTAATATATTAAAAGCTCTTTAGTGCAAGATAAAAAAAGGTAAGAATTATAAGGGAAGAGAAATATACTTCATTGGTGTCACTTGACAATATGCAAATCCAACAACATAAACAAAAGAATTGATTTTTAATTTCGGTGTACAACTCTTTGATACTATTTGATAACTCAACTCTTTGATACTGATTGATAACTCAATTCAGTCACTGAAAATAGTAAAAGCCACTTAAAATGGAGTAAATTTTTAAGGGACAAAGATGCTGAACGCTAAGAAATCACAGAGATACCAAAAAATATTTATTTTTTAATTACCACTCAAGAACTTCCGTACTTAAAATTTTCAGTTTTATCATACAGCACCTTTGTCTTTGAACTCCTACATCTTTAAAAATGCTTATTCTGAACGAAAACAAAAAATAAAATACAAAATGCAAAATTTATCTAAAAATCTGATTTTTAGGTCACATAATCAATAAAATGAGTACTAAACATTCAAATGACCCAAAACAGGTTAATGTAAGGCTTAAACACATATTAATCAACAAAACCGGATTTTGTTAGAGAAGAACTAATCAACAAAATTGCAAAATGGGTAATTAAGTGCTCAGAGATCGGCATATGAACATGATTCAATAATTTTAACTTGTACAAAATGCATGTAACTATATATATATATATATATATATATATATATATATACACCCACAAAAGCAAGAGCGTTACCTGCTTGGCCTTGTAGCCCAATCGGCGAGCCTTGTCAGGGCGAGTGGGGTGAGTGACACGAACAATAGAAGGAAGCTGACGGTACTCCCAACACCTCACCCTTAGCAAGAACCTCATCACATCTGACTGCTTCTTCCTCCATAGCTCCGACACGTATGTGTAAGCCCCTGTGATTTTCACAAAAATGTATACATAAATACACACATACAAACATATATATATATATACACACACACACACACACACAATACAATGATTAAGCTCGAAATCAAATTTGTTAGAATAAAGAATAGATTGAGAGAAAGAGAACCCATGGCTCAAAGATGCGATTTCTTGTGAGTACTAACTAGGGTTTGCTGTGTGGAGAGTGGCAGCGAAACCCTAAATATAAGAGAAGGGCATCCTTTGATTTTTTAATCTCGGGCGTCCATTCTCAAGCATAATCTAACGGTGTCATTTTAGTAAGAGCATAATCTAACGGTGTCGTTTTAGCAAAAGTATATACGTAAAAACACTCGTATAATTTTTTTTGGTTCTATTTTTAAATAATAAAGCATTTTTCTATTTTTAATGAACTCATTATTGTCACTATTGTATACTTGACTTTAAAGTTTAAAACTTTAAACTTTTTTATATCGAAGTAAATATAAGATGCCAATTGAGTTGGAGGGTCAATGAAAATTATTTCTTATATCATGATTGAATTCTTAAATAATTTATATATTTAATTTTTTCGCACACATCAAATGCACCATGCAATAACTGAAAAAATTTCGGATAAGAGTCATTCCGTTAGGTTATTTTTTTGGGATTGTAAAAATATTTTTATTGAAAAATGGAACTAATGCAATGAAAAATAGAAAAGTACTATTTCTCTTTAAACAACAAAAGATGGGAAATATTGAAAAAAATTAATGTAACATTTATCAGAAATTGGTTTAGAAATTATTTTATCCTTCTAAATTTAACCATGAAAACATTGTTATTCAATTGTTGGAATTTTTTTTTTTTTTTTTTTCCTCACCTTTGCGTTAAAAAAACAAAACAAAACCTTAGACATTTTATCCCACCACCTATTTTCCATCCAGACTTCAATGTTCCATCAATTCGTAATACCATGGGGCTGCAAAGGCTCCACATCTACTCCAAAGGTGAAATTTCACCATTTTTCAATATTTTAAATTATTCACACCTTTGGATTGTGAAATTGAATTCAAATCAGGCCTAAATTAAGGTTGTAGTACCGAAAAAATTCTTTAAAGGTAGCCCCAAAGGAATTCGAACTCTTGACTTCCCAAAATGTGAAATGGGACTCTTTGTCATTAGGCTATCCTTTTGAATTGTTAGAATTTTTTATTTAAAAAATTGAACTAATGTAATGAAAAATAGCAAAGTACCATTCCCATTAAACAAAGAAAGATAGGCAAATATTGAAAAAAAAATAATGTAACATTTATTAGAAATTGGTTTAGAAATACATTAACCTTCTAAATTTAACCATGAAAACGTTGTTATTCAATTGTTGAACCATTTTTCCTTTCCCTGGCAAAAAATAATTCATACTTGTAGAACCACATTTTGCCCCATCCACTGTTCCACAAGTACCGTGCCATGACAAAGCCAATGGTACAGAGTATACAAACAGGGTTACAACCATTGTTCAATTCAAAGAATCACCCCCACTTCCCTCTATCTGCATGTGTGTGTGTGTGTGTGTGTGTTTGTGTGTTTTTCAAAACAGTACGCTTGAAGAATACACTATGCATGAATTATTATGTCATTGATAATTTAAAGAAAAAAGATAAATAAAAGTACTAGCTACTTCTAGATAATAATCAATACCAACCTTAATAAACTCAACATTAAGCTTCAGAATAAATAACATTCCACTGTTTCCACACAATCTAGTTCACCATAATCTAGTTAACAGGCAATGAACTGAGTCAGGTCACTTTACTACTTGGACCCATTCACATTCTTTTGTTCAACGAATAATCACCTGAGTTTTGCCGGAGAAATTCTTACCGAGCAACTGATCACAAATAAACTCGCGCTTCTCTTTAGACCACAAACCTTGATGCGTATGTACATCGGTCCAAAATTCAGTTCTTAAAGTATAAGTTGAGATGCGCATCAATACCATCCGCTCGAGCGCAACAGCATTCTCGAGCAAATATGTAGCAAACTCAATTTGATTCCAGGTTCCGCAAAAGCCACAGATTTCAACTTCTTTTAGTTCACTGTGCAGGTAACCAGGGAGCTCATCCACTCTTCTTTCAGAAAATTCAGGATACGGCATCTGCAAATTTGACAAAAATCTCCACTAGTTTAAGAATGCAATTTCAAATGAGTATTCCATCTACAACTGCTATACAATATAAACCAAAATAGCTTATAGGAATGAGAATATCAAGTTTTTAGGCTTGTACCACCTATTTATCATATATATCTAATACATATTTACTTATAAAAAACAATAAAAATCACAAAGAGTTTCAATTTTAGGAAGGCACAAGCTAGATTAGACTGGAACTGGAATTAACAAAAGATTGTTTAATTTTAGGTAGCTTCCTTATACTACTAGGTTTTCTTATACTTTAGTTTCCTTAAACAATTAGCTTCTAAGTTTCTTATTTATTACATATAAATGAAGTATATGATTGCTATACAATTTAAATATATGTATTATCTGCAACTTAGAACCTAAAATATTCAAACTCACGTGCCCCTTTTTTATTTATTTATTTTTTTTTTTTCGGAAAGTAACACGTGCCCTTTTGCTAGACCACATAGAGAAATAATTCAAGTTATGGTAACGTAGGAGAGAAAATTAACTTAGAGAATACTGATCATTTACTAATTACTTGTTGGCCCAATCAATTTAACAAGCGCCTATCCTTTTCTTCTTTTTTTCTTATTCTTTTTTACATTTTTTAGGGGGTGGTTTAGAGTGAGCGGAACTACAATGTAGCCAAACACATAAAAGAAGTAATGATCAATATCAGCAAAGGTATGTTGGGATCACTTACCACTACATATAGTTTCTGCAGGACGGGAAGGGCACGCAGAAGTGGAGCAATAATCTTCACAAGATCATATTGCCAATCTTGAACAAAAAAAAGTTCCAATCGCTTGACATTGCTAAATGCAGTTGGACTTGCAGGTATATTTGCCACCTGAAAGAAAGAAGAAATCCCATAACTTATCAACAAAAAGGGGAAATTCAAAAAAATGACGCCATCAACAATAAAGCCTTTTTTTTTTTTCTTTTTTTTTTTTACCACGTACCCGATCAACACATGTGAGTATTGAAAGAGTTTTAAGCTGAGGAATAACTTTAGCAACTTCACTGAATATGTAAGGCATAGAATTGTCGTACGGTAGACTGAAAAACACTTTTTCCAATTTGGGAACACTGGGAATGAAATTTGTATTTCCTCGATATCAGAGATTTCAAAGGTCGTGATATTGAGAGCTCGAGATCTCGTAAACCTTTACAGCACCTTAATGCACAGAACTTCAACCTCAAGCTGAAGTTGTGATCGCAAATGCACAATTTGACCGGAAGGGTGCATTCCCTCACTGTCAACCACTCAAGATTCGTAGAATTACACAGCACCATCTGCAATCCTACTTCGTCTAAAGGCACACAATGTAAATAAAGATTAGTTAGGCTATCAAATCTGGTTTCAAGGTGCAACCGTATAAGTGCAAATGCTTTAACGTGGATGCTTCAGAAAGAAACTGCAAAGAGAGTGCATATAAACTATTATAATTAGTTTCCCTCAAAGAAGACAAGTTGCAAACGAAGTTGAGGTCGAGCTTCTCAACACCCCTTCCAACTGCAAAAATGATCCATTGATTAATAGAATCAAACCACTCCCTTTCAAGGCAAAAAGAAATCCTGAAGTAGCTTATCTTCGAACCCAGATAAAGCTTCAGAAATTGATCCAATATTCCCACGAATGCACGGTCATAGTTTGGGCAACGGTGCCTGAGTGTTTCACTATTCTGTACTTGCCTGACGGATGGTAAGCCAAACACAGTATGCAAATCAAGATTGAGGTTGGGCATGGATAAACAAAGATATCTCCATCTTTTTGATAGCATACTTGTTTTAACAGCGTCTCTCACTGTCATTAACGAAATAATGGCATAGATTACGTCATCCGGAAGGGCACTAATGTGATCATCCTCGGAAATCAAACACTAAAATACAAAAAAAAAAAAAATTAATATTAATAATAATAATAAATTATTCACCGTCTTGTTAGAAAATTTAAGTAAACATTCAAGTCATAAGAATATTTTTAGCGCCTTTGCTAAATTGCTCTAATTTCCAAAACAGGGCAAATAGTGTATACAAGAATTGGGACCATTCAACAACAAATCACATACTTGGACAAGCTATGCCACTTAACGAAGTATTGTGTATTGCTTTTCTACAGAAGTTTAATTCAATTATTGACAGACTTGCACACTCAAATAGTGTGTACAATTCCTCTATGAATGAAGCAAAAGTAACCCAAAAAGGGTTCAAATCATACCTTAGGAATGTTGCTTGTATCTCCTTGTAAATATCCAAAAGTTGTTTGCCAAAGTCTACAAGTAGCTTGGAAAGCTAATGCAAGGTGATCCAGAACCATTTTGGCGCGTTCTGGAAAGAGTGAATTTACTTTTAAGACGATTAACAAAATAAACAAAATTATATTATAATCCAGTTCAACTCACAAGCAATATTAACCAGCTTAGTCATAAAAAGCCATTTGTTTATATTAAGTAATTCGAAAGAGATTACATCTAAATCCAAAGGAAGAAAATAATATCGGTCCAAATGATGAATTCTCTTGCGCAATATCTTATCCACGAGTTTGTCCAGAAATTAATGTGAGGGGAAGCCTTAAAAAACAAAAAAAATAAAATAATCAAACTACCATAATAATAATAATAATAATTAACATTCATTGATAATTCCATTTAGTACATTTAATACAATTCATCTCCTACACAAAAATATTGAACACACATATTTAATTGCTCTCATAGTTTTCTCACCTCCATAATAATCTAAATAAAGATCATAATGTCTCATATTTTCTCAATCACCAAAGAAAGCATGGTAGGAAAACTAGTCTTTAAAATAAGATAATTTCTCTTCTCATGTTAAAAAAAAAAATGAAAATAGAAAATTGAGAAAAATATCTCAGCAAGAGCAAACAAAGAATAAATACAGGACAGAGAAAAAGAGAACAGCAAAACCCACTAATCTGCCTTTAGAGCCCAAAATATTTTCTCTAAATCGGTGAAAATCAATATTCAACCCCAATTCAAATTTTCTCTAAAAAACATGAAAGAAAAATTATTAATCAAAGTCCAGGACCAAAATACAGGAAAACCCACTAATATATATATATATATATATATATATATATATATATATTTGAACTCATAAAAATATACTACGCAATTTGATTACTTCTCGTACCAAAGTATTTGAAACTTACAGTGTGAAGACAAGATCTGCGGAACTCTTCGGAATTATATCCCTGACAGATCTCTAAAAAGTTAGGGTTCTAACTCTACAGAGACGACGGGGATGGGTATCGCCCTGGACAGCACCTTACGACCCAAAACGTGGTAATACTTCTTTGGGTATAATGCAAAAACCCCACTCTAAACTATTTGCCAATCGGCAATAAACCCCATCCGGCGAACGGCCGGTTGGGTCTCACCGTTAAAACATCCCGGTCACATGACACGTAATATTATAATTTAAAGACCATAATACCCTTATAAATATGAAAAGACTCTATTACCCCTGATTATGAAACCCAAACACAAACACGCCCTCATTTTCCAGCTACACCCAAACACGCCCTTATCCCTCTATACACACACACACACACAAAAATATACTACCTCCGTCCCAAAAATAGTGTCATGTTTCGGGAATCATGTCAGTTCAATTTGTATAAGTCACGATTCTCTAAAAGTGACACTTTTTCTGGGACGGAGGGAGTATATCCTTGGAAACACTGTTCATCTTCTTCGCATATTTTTGACAAGAAAAAAAATATATATATATTTGCCAAGTTACGAGCTTCACCACTTAGCCAAATCGGCTGAGATCGACTATGGAGTTGCGAACTACCACCCAAAGTCCAATTACATCGAGACCATAGACCTCAAAAAGAGTATAACCAGATGCTACTTCGTAGAGAACAAATAATGCCATTGCAGATTGTATCAGAGAGAACTCAAAGGCACTACTATTATAGGAATTCAGAAGCGGGTTTGAATTAAATAGAGGATTGAAACCCAAATTCAAGAGAGTGAAAACCCAAATAGAATCCTCACTACTCTAATCCGTTGACGCCCTTAACTTCTCGTCGAAACCCTAACTCTGCTGGCGATTAGGGCTGCAAATGAACCGTGTTCGCTCGTTAAAAGTTTAGCTTGGGCTTGTTCGTAAAGTAAACGAGTCGAGGTTGAACACATTTTTTAGGCTCGTTTAATAAACGAATTAAGCTTAAGCAATACTGAGCTCGGCTTGTTAGGCTCGTTAACAGGCTCGTTTAGAAAAAGGTCCAATTTTTAAAAAAAGAATTTATACATTTGTTTAGCCCATTTAACATAAAATCTAGTCCAAACTTATGCACCTTAGCCCAACTTCATTTTACATTAAACCCAACTTCATTTAATTAACCTTAAGCCCAACTCAAATTAACCTACTACACATCATCACATACATGTGACATGTCGTTGTATTAGCCGTTGGATTGCCTAACCATGTTCATTACATAATTTACATTTGTGAAAAAGCCTTAATCATTTGTAGTCGCAATAGATTGCATCACTCCTCTCATGCCTTTTAAGTTTCAATACAGCAAGTTCAACAACACTTTTTCTTTTCTTGCTCGCCGAGGATTTCTCCTAGATCTCTGAAATATATGTGATGAAGCTCCCTAATTATATACGACAACAGCAAACCTTACAACATCACTCATCTAATCCCTTTTAAGTTTTAACACATCTTTGTTTCCTCTCTCGTTTGTCTGTGGCAGTCTCTAGCACATTTCTCTCCGAAATCTCTCTTTGGTCCTTTTTCTCTGATGAAATCTCAATCCCATTTTACTGTTGGTGGGATATGTGAGAGATGATCAAAGAACAGAGGTTTATGTTCTTCATTAGATGATATGTTGTTGATACGCTAATTGATTTAATGTATTTTTTTTTTCTGAAGGCGAGCTTGAGCCGAGCCAAGCCCGAACACTCCAAAAAAGCTGACGAGCCGAGCTCGAACCTTATTTCACTAGGCTGGCCTGAGCCGAGCCCGAGCACTCCCCTAAGTCTAGCAAGCCGAGCCCGAACAAGTTAAAGCTCGACTCATTTGCAGCTCTACTGGCAATACACCCCCTTTTTGTCTTCACACTCGCCGCTAAATTTAATTGTTCAGATTGAGACCCAATTGCTTGTTTTGGCGAACCCGAATCGAGAGCATGGTTTGGTCTGATGATTGTTGATGCAAAATCTCGCTAGAGCTCGCGTCAGCGACTTACATAATATCGTCAATGTGCTCTGGAGCATGGTCGGCATGAATCATGCATCCTAGAGTCGCAAACGGCTTCCTCTTTCCTCTCTCTGTATGTGTCTCTCTCTCTATTTATATATATATAGCTATCCCAGCATCCCTCTTTGTGTGTCTATATATATATATATATAAACATCCCTCTGTGTGTCTATATATAATTAATATATATATATATATGGGAGAGATAGGGTTTGGCCGGATTGATGTTTGTAGAGAGAAAAAATAGAAGAGAGATCGTTGTTTGTAGAGAGAGAAAATGAAAGACTGGATTTTAACCGAATTGATGCTGATGGTGATAGAGAGAGAGGGTGGGAGAGGAATATTGGTATTGGGTAAGGTGTCATGTTGTAATTCGTCCTTCAGATTACAACTGCCACGTCATACAATTAAGTGTATCCACATCACACCTTTAAATGTATGAGTGTCAAAACAACGTCCTTTTAGTAAGGGTAAAATTGTCTTTTGAATTTTTCAATCAACCAACCTGCCGAATTGGAGTAAACTACAACAAAACAATAGTTCAGGAAATTTTTTGTAGTTCAAAGGGATTTCTTGCAAAACCCCAATAATTCAGGGGTTTTTTTGCATTTTACCCTACTTCTTATTATCAATTATATCAAGTTCTTTTATCTCCGAATAATGTCCTTTACCATTACCCTTTATTTTCAAAATTCCAATTTGAAAATATTTCTTTTATCAACTATATCTATATATTTATTTATATCTAGTACATTTATTTAAAGGTTAATTACACTCACACTCCTTATGTTTGTTTTATTGACAAGTAGATGGATGTTAGCCCATTTTTAAACACTCAAACCCTCTGTCAGAATTTTGATTCAAACAATCTCTTAAAGCGTGAGAAAAGATGATATTATCCTTTAATAAAATATAAATCTTTAAACTACAATATCAGAATCTGTACATGACAAAATTACCCTCGCAGAAGAACAAAAATTCATAATTTTCTTGCCCCCACCATTGTCACTGCAAACTCCTCCACCACCACCACCACCACACACACCGCCATTATGAACCACGTCTGTTTTTACTTTCCATAAATTAATTGAAATGGGCTCAATCAAACACACACATACTGCATCATCCACACATCATTGAGTTTTTCTTGGCTTTCATGTTTTTATAAAGAACTTTCTAAAATCTTTGACTTTCTATTCAATTTAATTTTTAGGGTAAAGTACAATGACACTTCCTGAGGTTTGCCATAAGGACACCCAGATACAAGTTAGCCTTTTTTTGGACAATGACACCTCCTCAAGGTTACTTCCTTTGACGAAAACACCCCTTATTGCTCTAACATGTGATAAAATGACCTAAATACCATTTGACTTATCAAATGACACTTTAAATTATAAAATCATTAATTTACCCATTCTAAATTGTCCAAAATAACCTCTTCATCTCAACCACATACCCACAAAGCTGCAGCCGCCGCCACCACCACCACCACCTCTTCTTTTATCTCTTCATTCTCTCTTTTATGTATATAAATATATTACACACATATACACATACAATTACAATTTAATCTACTCCTACACTGCCCCAAACCTTCCCTAAATTAATCACAAAAATTCTCCACAAACCAGTTTCAATGCTCAATAATCAGGTAGCAGGGACTTTAATGGGCTTCATTCAAAGGAAGATTAGTTTAGGCTTAGGTCAGTGTGTGAAATAAGGTAGAAACCCCATATTGGTTATCTCTCCAACCCAAATCATTGCTGTGGTCTGAACTTGGTTGGTATATTCGGACTAGCCATGAAAGCTCATAGTACTTCATAAATGGAATGGAGTAGGCTGGGAAGGTGGATAGAGAGGTAAGAGTGGGATAAGGAAATAAAAGAGGAAGGCATGCCTCTATCCACGTTTCCCCCAACTGTAGTTCACCGCAACGACGTGGTCAAACTCTGAGGTGGAGTGACTGGCCAGATCAACTATGCTGAAGCGGAAGGTTCAGGTCTGCGGAAGCGAAGGCGGAAAGGGCCTTGATCAGGTTCGCGGAGGCGGAAGGGGCTTTAATTAGGTTTGCGAAGGCGAACGGGCCTAGATCAGGTCGGCGGTGGCGCCGCCACCATTATCGGAAGCCTGCCGCCATAATCACTACTGCTTCGAGCCACCGTCTGTAGCATAATGTGGTTTGTGAACTGCTCCGGTAAAACCCAAAAGTTTTGGTTCCACTTTCGCTTCAATCCGATGAAACGTACTGACCCGATTCAACAAACAAGCTGAATGAATCGGTGATAGTGGTGGTTTTGGGTCCGATAAGGGCTTTATAATCGCTATTGGCAATGGAGGTGTGGTGGGTTTGATTAGGGCTCTGCAATCGGTATCGCATGGTGGTGGTGTTGGGTTTCAATTACAATCGGTGATGATGGTGATGGGGATCGATTAGGAATCTGCAAGCATGCATATGCGTGTTGGGTTTAATATGCTGATGTGGGGTTTTGATTTGGGGGTCAGCGGTGGTGTCTCTTGCTATGGTGGTGATGGCAAGGGTGTGTTGGTGGTTGTGGGATGAGTATGATGGTGGCGGTAGCTGTTACCAGTTGTGGGATGAGAATGGTGATGGAGGTGGTTGTGGCTGTGGCTATCACCGGTTGTGGTATGAGTATGGCGGTTGTAATACCCCTAATTTTAAAAGGGACAGTCCTGGAATTTAATAAATTGTTTAAATAGTATTTTTATTTAATTAATTGTTTAAATTGTATTTTATGTAATCAATTGGTTAAATTGCATTTGTTTATTTCTTTGGTGTGGTTTAATTGTTTTAAATTGTTTTAGGGCATTTAATTATTTATTTGCTTTCATTTAATTATTTTATTTTATTTATCTGAATTTAGGGTTTTATGTTTCTAGTTTAGCCGACACTGTTTTAAAACCTAGAATATTCAATGGGCCAAGTTATTTATGGATTAGGGTTAATGTTTAAGTCTATAAATATAATCGCATGTGGGTTTAGGGTTTTAGAAAATTCAATAAAACCTATTTACGTAACAGAGTTCTACAAAGAATAGTGAGATATAGAGAGAGAAAAGAGAGGAGGTTGAGACCAAGGTTGGACCAAGAAGGAGGAAGGAAAGGTGTTTTTGGGGTTGAACCAAGGCATTGGAGGAGCAGACTTGCAGTATAGGACACGAACATAGCTTACAGAGACGGTGAATTAGAATTTCAAATCTGAAATTCAAAGGCAAGTTCTGTTTTTCTCTCTCCCATTAATTCGTGTTCTGTGCATGACTAGTTGGACTCCAGGGATTTAATAAATGCTAAAACGGTTGTAAATAAACATAATAACATGTTTTGTGCAAATAGGAATTTATGTTTAATCTCGTGAATTAATTGTTTTGCATGATCTTACTATTCTGTTTTTGTTTTCTTCTATGGGTTACGATTAAGCTTTGATGGTTGAGATTAGGGATGCGACTTGATGCCTTGTAACTAATCTGGGACTGAGTTTGAACTCTAGAACAAATTCTTAGAACATGATTTAGTTGCACTAAATTAAACTGAAATAAATTTCTGTTGGAACTTGCTTAAAATTGGACAACAGAGGTTTTGTAATCGTAGCTTTAAAGCTTGTGTTCCATGCATGTTTTAGTTGAATATCAGTGGTTTAATATGTGCCTAGGACTGAGCTTGAACTTAGAACAAAGTTTTAGAAACACCTCAGAGGCTCTGTAATCACCGGAGCTGGAGAAGATGAAGCTAGAACGGGCAAAAGGCTACTGAAGGGGATTGAGCAGGCTCTAAAAAGCCTTAGAGTCGGCTCAAAGGCAAAGGAGCCGGCTCTATCTTTGTTTGGAGCCGGCTCAATGCTAATGGAGCCGGCTCCAAGTGGAAAATTGAGCAGGCTCAATGTTTAATTTGAGCCTGCTCTCTTTTATTGCGCACATATTTGGTTTTAAGGGGTTGTTTGGCTGTGCAGTGTTTTCTGAAGCCGTTTAAAAGCTACTGTGAGATGTAATTAAATGTTAGGGACTTAAATAAATGTTTAAAACATTTAATGCCATAATGGTTTAAGGGTAGGAGCAATGAACAGATCAAATAATGGCTATACGTTGCACTGTTTTTGCTAGGTTTATATAATTGGAACTTGGCAAAGTTTTTATATATAATTCAATTATATATAACCCTATATTGTTACTGTGTTATAAGTATGGTAAATTAATTATATTTATCTATACTTAGTTGGATTTAAATTGACATTTAACGTGTTTAATATGTATCAATTTATTGGTTGTTTTGGAGGATTCAAATGCTATGTCTTATTCTAGCTGTTTAAATGATTGGAGCATGATATTTAGGTTCTGTAGTGAATACCTAATATTGATATATGTATGAATTTATACCAATGCATATACTGGAGGATGGTTGTTGATTATATAGTGTTGTTTTAATAACTATGCTATATGGAGAATTTGTATGTACCGGTATGGGACGGTGACATACTAGGTATGGATTAGTCAAACATTAAATCCTACCTAATTTGGATTAAGGTATGGATTAACCCTATGAGTTAAGTCCATCACCTACTTGTGTCATATCAATCAAATAATTAAATGACTTAATATGGTTTCAGGATGGATTTGTTTTACATTTATCAAACCACTTTTCAGATGGTTGATATTTTGTAATAGGAGGACACGGACTTTATATATTTATTATATGTGTCATGGTATGAGCTTGAGTCTCAGGACCATGGTTAGGGTGCGTATATTGCCTAGGATGGATAGCTGGACAGAGGTGTTGTTCCCTGGTAGGTCTAGATACACATGACCACAGTATGTGCGATTTGCATGGTATCTCTATTCAGGCTGAGATAGACCTTTTTGGACTAGTGAGCGTCCTATAGTGTGTACTTATACATATATGGACTACTCTAGATATTGTTGAGTCTTTCTAGTATGTATCTGCGTATCGGATTCCTGTTTGGATTGTAGTAGATCAGGACTTGCATGTGGGCCTGACCCACCCTTATATTTTTCAGGTACTCGTCAGTTCCAGGGTTAGAGTTTGATCGTACAGAGCAGATACAGACTTCTATTCTACCGACAACGTAGGACTTCTTTCCAGATATTAGATTTGGATTTTATCTTCAGTTTTCTTCCATGCAGTTTGGGATTTTATTAGGAGTCCACTAGAGATGGATTCCCGAATTGTTAAACTTATGGAGTTTGGATTGTCAAGGTTTAAATATTTATATTTGAGGATTTATTTTAGTTTCTTTCAGCTTAAATTTTATCTCTTTAATCACTTTTGTATTCAGTGTTCGTTTTAAAATATTAATTGTTTGGTATCTCTCGGATTTGGGCTTGGGCCTGATCAACCCGTGTCTCGGATCCGAGGGGTATCACAGCGGTGGCTGTCACCGATTATGGTGATGGTGGCGCCGGTGGCTATCACCGATTATAGTGATGGTGGCACCGATGGCGCAGATGTGGGAGGGAGGTATTGCTTAGCAATGCATCAAGGGCAATTATGTCATTTAAGTCTTCAGATTTTATATCAATTAAATGTTGAAGGGTAATATCGTCTTTTACCAACTTTTTAGGGGTTGTTTGGCTGAAATTTTTGATAGGGGGTGTCATTGTCCAAATACAAACTAACTTGTATATGAATGTCCTTATAACAAACCTCAAGGAGGCACCATTGTACTTTACCCTAATGTTACATACTCATTTTTAAGTCTCCACAAAGTTTTATTCAAAACCCATATCAATTTTACAAAATCATTGCTATAATTATTTATCTTTAGTACTCATTTAATAATAATATTGCAATGTATTTAGTTTATAAACACTCAATTTATTTGGAATAAAGTTATTAAGTAAATAATACTTCCTTTTTTGTAAAATTTCAACTGAAGACTTTCACTTTGATTTTATCATTTAATACAACCGAACCAATGAGATTCCACGTGCAATCACAGAAAATATAAGCATTTAAAAAATAAAGCAAGAACAAAAATGTGATTAAGACCATTGTTAGGTAAAACAACCAATCACATTAAAATAACGATCAATGTATGGTTTATTAAATACAAAGCTCAAATTTCAAAGATCCCCCTGCAACAGGTTTCTCTCCCCCTCCTTCAATGGGGTCATCATCATTCGTATACAAAACTTCAACGAGGGAAGAGAGAGAGAGAGAGAGAGGGGGGGAGAGAGTCTCTAATGGCTGTGTCTCAGATTGGAGAAGAAGCCCGGACTCATTCTAAACCTATCTGTGCTTACTGTAACCATCTCTTCCTCGATCTCGTTCTCGCTCCCTCGATCCTCTCGAATGCCTGGCCTCTTCTTCCCACTCCATTACGTTTGCCGCCGGCGGTGATGCCTCGTACCTCGAGGGCCTCCTCTTGAAATGCCGCTCGTCGTCGCTCGAATCATAATCCACAGCAACACTCGCACTCTTCCTTGATGTCGCTGCCGGTGCCGGCTTCTTCAGAGAGGAAGAAGAAGTCTTGTAGTCTTCGTGATAGCCATTTGAAGTCGCCTTGTGGTGACCAGATGAGGCAGAGGCACTGACCAGAGCTTCCGACGAGAGCTTTCGCTTCTTGGAGGCAGCCGCTGCTGCTGCTGCTGCTTCTTCTTCGGGGAAGCTGATCCGAGAGAAGACACTGGCCTTCTGCTTTCGGTCTGCTGCTGTTGTTGTCGTGGTGGTGGTTCTGGGCGGTGGATCTATGGGTGCTGAGGGAGGTTTAGATGATAAAGAGTCTGGACGGTGGTGGGTGTGGTGGTGGTCACGGTGATAGTCGTAGTCGGATTTCCTTTTGGAGGAAGGGCGCGGTGGCTCCAAGTCCCGGATGGGGCGTTCCGGCGATGGCTTCTCAGATCGTTGGCGATAGTGGTGGTGGTCTGTCCCCGATGTTTGGTGGATGGGCTTTTGCTGCAACAGGAAGGAAACAAACCGTATTTAGATTTTTATATATACATAAATATTTATCAGGGAATCATCAACATATATAAGTACAAAAAATTGGCAAAAAAAAAAAATACATAAAAGAGAAGAAAAAGTCCAAAACGCAAGGCGTTGACCTACCACGTGTTTCTATCTTTATTTATTTTCTTTTTTTATTTCTCTACATTTCAGTATTTCAGTCTCTCTTTTTTCGTTCTTTTTAAATCTCTCGACACACCAAATGGGACATTTTTTTTTCACGAAAAAAAAAAAAAAAAAAAAATTCTTAATGTACCGTATCAAAACTACAAAAGTCCACAATGTTTTATAATAAAAATTAAATTTATAGATTAAAATAAAATCGTGGTAATTTAGTGGTTTATTCTCCAATTCTGGTGAAAAATATTCAAGTCCTCCGCGGGGCGGGGCGGGGCGGGGCGGGGGACGCATCTTCAGACCCCAGCACATCATTTTTCAGAAGTAAATTAGTGAATTCAGGTGAATCATTTATCAACTTTCTTTATTTTTTTTAATTTTTATTTATAAAAAAAAAAAAAAAAAACCAATATTTATGACCTTCAGAGCACCATTCCAACAAACAAATAACTAAGCTAGTTTACATGCAAGACTAAATGCATTAAAACTAAAACTGTGCGTAAATCATGAACCTAACCCAATCTCATGGAACATTAGAATTAGTTAATCAAGCTTTTGCATCCAATTACTTCTCTTTGTAACTTTATTTTGAGCTTATGAAATAGAAGGTGAAAAAATATACATAAATCAAAACAAGCAGTAGCAATTTACTATACAGAAAAATCCAAGTAGCTCGTCAGTCCGTAGATTTGCACCACAAATTAAGCAAATATTTTAGTTGCACCACAGTGCAGTATGTGCGCATTCATTTCAACAGTGCATGACATCAATTGGTACTTCAAACACTTCATAGTTTAGTAAGACAGCGAAGCCCCTAGGTTCAACGCCCATCAACCACCGTAGTCAAATGCACTTCTCCAGCCAAGGCTCAAATTTTGAATCTAAAATTTTTCTATTGGTCATCAAGTCAGAAAATTGAATTTTAAGTCATAAGGCCCCATCAGAAGCTGATGAACCTTGGGTAAACTCTTATATAACTTAAAATACATCTATGTGCAACCCCTTCTCCATTTCCAACTTAAAGCTCCATCTTACCGGGGAGTAGTTCGGAAAAGAAACAGAAACTAATATTTACATGAAATGGTTTTTCACAAAAAACCCAGGTTCTCGTTTCTTTTCCTACAAATTCTCAGCAATCAAATGGAGCATTAAGTCAAAAAAAAAAAAAAACACAACAAAAAACACAGAAAAAATATTATTTCAAAAAAATATTTAGTGTTTTTAAAAAGATTTTGAATTATTTCAATCCTGACTTCAGGAATAAATGGGATTTTCTTCTTTCTTGACAGTGGAGAAGTGGAAATAATTCTCTTGCCAAACTGTCTTTCACGGATTGGTCCTGCCAATTTGTTGCTTGCAAACAAGGAGTCTACCAGCTGCAGTACACTAATAAAAAAAGGAGAAATTTGGACAACAAAAAGACATACAGATTTTGGTTTCAATGAAGATACATCGCCACTGCTGCTCACTTCCTTACTGAACAACTCCCTGCTGTAAAAGGAATAAAATTTTATAATCACATAATGATATAAATTTCTAAATAACTAATTTACATGGACAATGCAAAGCAAATGATCATATATGACAAGACAGACAATAATGAATTACAAAGTACAAAAAAACAATCTATCCTTGCTCAATCGATTCCAACACGTTATATGGGAAGAGTTCTCCGCCACAAGCTAGAACACTGGAGTAGACATACAAATCCACTTTCACAAAAGAAACTAAACGTACAATTCTTCCAAAGATATTTTAAAAAAAAAAAAAATGAGAGAGGACTAGTGATCAACTAAGTTTTCAACTATAGTTTGACATAACATTAACCAAGATATGCCAGCGAGAAGGAACAGATACGAAGCTGGATCTAGTGTATCATGCACCAACTCAGTGGCTTTAAGCATGGTACAATCTAGGTAAGCTCATCGAAATTGCCAACTTGACACAATAGCTAGATTTGAATTGAGAAGAGACCCCTTGTGTGCAATTCATAGACTAAAAGAACATGTTTGTAAACCACAAACTGCCACTTCGCTAACTCAGTGGCCTAAAGCATGGCACAATCTACTTACTATCTAGGCAAGCTCATCCAAATTGCTGACTTTGTCACATTAACTAGATTTAAATGTGAGAAGAGATCACTTGAAGTTCAAAACTTCGACTCTCCGAACATATTCGCGAACCAAAAATTGCTATTTCACCTTGAAGACACTTACACTTGGCCTCTGGCTATCATACTGTTAGCAGATTCAACAAAACAAAATAAAAACAACTCCTAAAGGCTACTCAAGACAATGATATTCATCTGGTTCTAATCAATTTATCTTTAGGGAAAAAAGATTCGCATGTAGATCTGAAATAAATAAACTGAAGATCGAAATCTACTTAAAAAACCTAAAGGAAACATCACCTTACAACACATTAGCACATTGCATCCAACAAAGTACCACCACCACAAAGGAAAGCAGAACAGTCAAGACTAACCTTTCACCCCGTCTCTCAAATTCACGTTTCCTCCTTAGATCCGCTTTCCGAGCCTCAAATTCCTCTCTGCTCAAGATGGGTCCAGCCTGCATGCCCATCCCGAATTCTGCGAGATCCCTATAATTGATAAAGAAAATTATCACACAATCAGCAAAATATTATGTGACATATGTTCAACAAAAAATTTCTATCCAATTGAAGACGTACAAAGGCTTAATAAAAACTAAATACATGCAGCATTATTAATCAACCCAATCAACAATCCGGTAAAACACATTCCATCCGCACCACTTATCCAAAAACACATACAGATACACCCAATCCCCCCCCTTCCCTTTTGGATGTGTGGGTGTGTGTGTGTGTGTGTGTGTGTGTGTGTGAGAGAGAGAGAGAGAGAGAGAGAGAGAGGAGAGTCAATTAAGAAACATAGAAGCATACCTTTGTGGTGGTGGGGCCATAGGCCACATATAACCTTGTGCTCCAAAGGGGTCTGGTGGTAAGACCCCCCCAAATGGGACATCTAAAGGACCAAATCCATAACCCATATAAGGCATGGCACCAGCACCATAGGGCGCAGCATATCCTTCCATTCCAGGTTGCATGCCAGTCCAGTAAGGGTTATAGGCAGAAGGCCCCATAGGCATCATATAATTCTCAGCTGCAAAGTCTTGAGAAGCTTTCCACTGCATCTCTGTAGCTGGACGGCATCAATCAATTGAACGGAATGGTGTCAGCATCATCAAAACTAAAAACCCTCATTTGACTTGATGAAATTCAACAACCACGTAAAATTACATTCCTGAAACCAAATCATAACATACCATTTAAAGGCAAGCGAGCTTTCTTCTTCTTCTTTTTCTTTCCTGAAAGAAAATGTCAAAAAATATTAATGTCCGACTCCAACATATGAGAATTGATTTCTCTCTCAATCCATAGTTGCATTATTTTTAGATAATTCTTATGCAAGGTTCAATTTTACATGCATGTACCCATCCAGCTCCCAACACAATATGACATAGGACCCGGGAGTCCGGGACAAGATGCACTGGAATTTCACAGTATCAACGCAGCAGATACTAGTAAAATGTTGAGAAAGGCAAAACAATCCATATATTGGCTATAAATTAATAGAGTATCAATAAAACTTTGAATTACTTGCCTGCCTCATCAGAGACTGGCTTTTGCTGCACTTCTTCATCAGGCAGTGGAGCACTACCCTGCGATGCTGGTTCCTTCACACTCATTGATCCATGTATAGCTTCAGTAACATCTGCAACTTTGGAATTCCTCCCTTTCTCCAAGGTTTGCTGGGGAGCATTAACAGTCATACCATGTTCTGTAGTCTCCTTTACTTTTGGAGTCTCTTCAATTTGAGGCAATGTCACTTGCTCTGCCTTTGAGGCCGCTGACAGCGTAGGGGATGGAATCTTAGGCAGTGGACAGCGGGCCGACTCCATATCTGAAGGGGAAAAGGAGTATTATAACGCAACAAGATGGTTGCAACTTGTAACTCAAAACATAACAGACTCACTAGGATAAGATCTTAAGACAACAGAAATATCAATAAAAAAACACACCTTGAGCTTGGAAAGCACTGCCAGCGTTTTCTGCACTGCTGTTATTGGACTCCAAAATCCTATTGATAGTATCCCTGAGTGTTCTATTGGGTAAAAGATCATCTGCGAGTATATTTGTGGCACCACATACACACATCGACTTAGAGATGATGTGGTCTCTTATGCCTGGGAGTTGAATTTAGTAATCAGAATTTGAAGATCAAAGACTAGAAGTGTCAATTAACAACAGAGATATGCATTGCATAAACATGCACGAACAAAAATCCTAACTACCATAACTTAACAAACCAAAAAGAAGGCACACATTCACTCTAATTACAGAGTTCCCGGGAGCTTTTCCTCAATTGCCAAAGATTTTTTTCCTACTTGTTTTATGGCGTACACCAATGGTGCCCACCTTGGTGCAAGATCGTTACCCCATACACAATCTACACCCCCAAGTCCTGTACTGGGCAACACTGGTAAAACAAACCCATGGAATCTAGACCCAAGGGAGGTGAGTTGAACCAAGGTCCCCCACTTCATGAGGCGTGGTTCTTGGTCACCTGCTTTACCCATTTTGGGTTGATGCCAAATAATTTTTAAAAGACCAATATCAAACAGTTGCTTTGAATAAAATAACATAAAATAAAAAGAAAGAAGAAGAATAAAACAAGAATCAAGGACAAAAAATAAAATAAAATAAAATAAACTCTAGGCTAACAGACATCCAGAAAGTTAAAACCCGCCGATTTGCATGATCAGAATGCACAATTAGTGCATATGGCATATACAACAGTAAGAAATCTTACATTTATCACAAAAACTATTGAAACAACACTTGCTTGTCAGCACAGCATCTTTCATTACTTCTTTACACAATGGGCAGTGAAGTTCTGGTGGAAGATCGCCAACAGGACGAGTGGAAGGTAACCCCTCAATTTCCTTTTCAAAAGCAGCCCTATATAAATTACAATGATTAAAATGAATCTTCTAAACCACAAGAAAGTCTTCCTTACGATACAAAGAAATGAGAGAGAGAGAGAGATCAGCTTACTCATTTGGCCTCAAAACAGCAACAGCACCACTCGGTAATGCATATGAGCCATCTGGAGTAGCCATCAACATAGATTTCGGAATACCAGTGGGAGGTTTCACTCTTTTAATGTCAAAATTAGGATCACCATTTGTGGGGCAGTGCTGAATAAAATGCCCTGAATAATAACATTCCACAATTGAATATATTTTCACCACAGAGTTGCATTTCAACCAACAAAATAACTTCTTCTTCCTCTTTTTCTATCAAATAATTTAAATAAATCATCAAAGGCATGAACATACCAGGAACTTTGCACCTGTGACATGTGTAGCCCTGGGGAGGTGTTTTCCGCTCCAATCCTCGACCTTAAGAATTAAAACATAACTTTCAGCCTCAAAAGCATATATATATAACTTATTAATTTTACATTTTTTGGGTAGTGTAAGATTTTACAGTAAAGTGTAACTTATTAATTTTACATGAACATAAATCAGTTAAATTTCATGAAAATATATAAGAATTTCATTAGCAACCACACCATTAAAAATAAAACACCTCCAGAAAAAGAAAAAAACGGTACTCGTCAGCGCAGAACTCCACCAAGTAACATGATGCTATATATATTACATAAATAAATAGAAGATATTGCACAAATATACAAGGTATAAGATAATCACCAAAACCACGTCCGTTCATCATTCTTCCGCCCATGCCCCGTCCAAAACCTCTACCCGGTCCAAAGCCATTGGAAGCTTGACTGAACCAAAAATTACAAAAAATAAGATTCTAAAGAGCGATCATTTCCACATCAATTAACCAAAAGCAAATCATTACAATATTAGGTACAACAACAAAAGCAGTAAAAAATCTCACTGCTGCCAATCCAAAGCCGGAGTATCAATTAAAGCCTTGATCTTGCTGTCCTCGTCAGCTTTACTAGGAGGGGGGGCGTCCTGAATTGGATTGCTTGCTTGAACTGGTACGGCTTCAGGAATAGCATATAAATCATTCCCAAATTCATCCCATTCTGAATCTTCAAGCTACATACCCAACAAATGAATTAGTTATTACGCCCAGGCATGAGGACTGACTCCTGGATCCATAAAACAAATCCAAATTCTATCTAAAGAACCAATATAGAAGCTCAGAGCTTACATATTTCATTCCAGATGGATCAGCTCCCAAGAAGCTACTACTCTTTGCTGGTTGAGCATCCTCAGACATATTGTCCACCTTTGGCCTGTACACAAAGCACATATATCGAACTCAACCAAACACTCAGAATTTGTCGCTTATACGAAGATGATCATAGAATCATCAAATGGTTTACAAATGACAAAATGATAAGCACCACAAGAATCAGCCAGCAGGCTACCAGAAACAAGTGCAACCTTAAACTACCAACACAATGTATTTTATCTAACACAACCAATTTAACCAAAACAAATGGAATGCAACTGAGTGGTCAAAAAATCTAAAGGATTGAGGTAGTACTCGTCTTGTTCGGCAACTGGTTCAGTAACAATGTTCATTCGAGGCCGTCCAGGAACTCGGCGAATTAAAACAGAAGTATTTTTCGGAATCAACATTGCGTCATCGAGATACTCTGAAATTGCAACAGACAGAAAAATCTATAAACCACTGCAAATATATCCATATAACCACACATACAATTGACAAAAAATTTAATCCCCCAAAAGGCATGTTACGGTCCTAAAACAACAAATCAGCTAAACTATCCAACATAAACCGTCCATCAACCTGGTTACCAGTATCACACCAGTCAATTTGACCATAGCCCTAAAATGGGCCAAATTGACCTCACTATCGAAACAAACCACCTTGACCTTACTTACACTCAAGATAGGCAAGATTAAATATTTGCCCAAACAGGCCAGTTTGACCTTTCTCCCTGAATTAAGCAAGTTTGACAATAAAAACCATCCACAAAGTTCTAACTATTCAATAATAGCTAATCCCTCCACTCATGCCACACTCTTCTCTTGTGTTTCTTTCCAAAAGTGTGGGCCAGATTCAACACCCATAAACTTCTTGTACACAAGAGTGTTCATGAAACCAATCTATTACTAGAAAAACTTGTACTGTTCATGAACCAAATCTATTACTAGAAAAACTATTGATTTTGGAGATTGAATGAAAGAATACTTTTATTGTTAAAAATCGTATAAAACAACCAAAAATACAGAGGAAGGAATAGACTCAAACTAGAATATTAAACCAACCTTCATTAGTCTGAGCGTTGGTGACAACAAGGTCAAAATCAGTACCCCTGCCCAAATGCTTGGATTCAAATATTTTTTCTTTCAAATTGGCAACTGATATGAAATGACCGTCGATTGGAATAAAGTCATAATCTTTTGCACTTTTGAACTTATAATACACAGACATATTTCTTTTAAATTTTTTTTCCCTCTGCTAAAAAAATATAGAGAAAGAAAGAACGAACACAAGGCCCTAAATAACCAAAGGCCGTCAAATAAAAATCAAGGCCTGATATTGAATGAAACAACAATATATAAAAAGTACAAAAATTTAGCTCTTTTTTTGTTTTCTAATTCTCTTCAATAACACGAGAGAGATCAAACCAACGAATGAACTTCTCAAACCGCAAATCAACCGGTCCTTCAATCCCAAAAGATCTCTTCAAAGCCGAATACTTCAATCACCGATCCAATCTTCAACTCGTACAGGTAAAAGAAGGCCTCCAAAGAAATATACACCGATTGCAAAGAATTGAATCAGATCGAACAGATTGCAGCGATTTGAATCAGATCGAACCGATCGCAGCGATTTGAATCAGATCGAACCGATCGCAGCGAGAGTCGAAGAAGCCCTAACGTCCCGAAGCCGAATCGCGGCGAGATACAACTCCTCAGATCGACGACGAAATCCAAATACCCAAATGATTTGAAGCTTCAAAAACCGATCAGATCAACGATAATCGACTATTCTTCAGATCGATTGCCGTTCACCTAAGTCTCGAATCAATCGCCGGTTGCCTTCCAAGAAAAAACACGAACTCGAGAGAGTCCAGACGATTTGAGCATCAAAAATTCATTGAAAATCGACAATTGATACCAGAGATTGGACAAATTTTTGAACGATTTTGATGTTGAAACCCTAGAACCCAAAGAGGTCCGGAACTAGGGATTGGGTTGCGTAACAGGAAAGCTATAGAGAGAGGGTGAGAAGCTGAGGGCGGTGAGAGCTTCGGTTATCGATTTTAGGAATATATTGAATATATACACAATATTAAAGGCGGTAATTTATTACACGCTTGTGTCACGTGAGCCGTTACCGGTTAAATTTTTGTTTCTCCAACAAGAAAAAAATAAATAGATAAAACAATAAATAACAAGTAAAAATTTAGGATCTATTAATTTATCTATTAAATTATTTTATCTATTTATTATAAAAATTATTTTACCTGTTAAAAATACATAGATAAGAAGTAAAAAATTTTGTTTGATTTAGTTTTTTCAAAATTTTACTTAAATTTATTTGATTAATTTGTTTTTTAAAACTTTTTTTTAAAAAAATTAAGTAAAAAAAGTATGTTTGATTCAGTGTGTTCAAAAAAATTATAAGAGATAGTAAGTTACATATAGCTCAGTTCGACAATGTTTCAAGATAAATCAGAACGAATCGATTTTACACTTAATCTGATAGTACATTGAAATCAAACCAAATCATAAAAGAGCAATTTTGTTCATTTTGGAACTTCAAGAACCTCGTAAGAAACTAATGTAATAACACATTATTAAATTTTTAAAAAGCCATGCTGATATGGTGGTACCTGAATTTTAATATTAGAATATAACATTGAATGTAAAAATGAGAGTAAAAATATTATTAGTAAAATATATAACATTGAATGAAATTTTTGGATTGTACTTTAATAATAATATATAATATTGGATGAACAATATAGAGTTGTACTTTAGTAATAAGCATGCCTAATATTATAATATAACATCAAACGCATACATTTTTTTCATTACGATGGTACATAGATAAGTCTCTCCAAGCGAGTCCGAGTCAGAATTTTGATTTGGGGGCATATTGATATATGATAAAAATAAAATTTTTAGTATAAAAATAAAAATTTTACTGAGAAGTTTGAAGGGAAAGAATTTAGAGTTTGATTAAAAAAAGTGAATGCAATTTTTTTGAAAAAAAAATATAAAAATGAATAATAAGATAAAAATGAATAAAAGAACAACATTTCTCTTGTACCTTTATACATAATTTTCATATTATTTTTAAAAAGCTGCATTTATGAAATGACCAAATAGGACATAAGCTACATTCCGGACACATTTATACCGTGGCTGACTGGCCTTCGCCGTCATCGGTGTCGCCTTGCCAGTGAGCTCCATACTCTCGTGAAATTGACATGGATTTTTTATGTGATTGGACAGACCAGTAGAGATAGGAGAGTGTGTTTTGCTCGTGAAAAAGAAGAGGAAGACGATTGGTGAGACAACCTATCGTCGCCAACAGTGAACGTGGAGAAGATTCGTCAGAGCAATAGCCCCCCATAATGTATTTACTAATTTTTTATTTTATTTTTGGATTGGGCTAAAAATACCTAGTAAAAATAAATAAATAAAAATAAAAAATAAAATTTGGGAGGCTCAAGCCCCTTTAGCCCCACCTTTGGATCCGCACAGTAGGAGGCGGGCTTGATGGTGGCGACTAACGAGGCGTCGATGCCCATGAACAATCGAGAGGCAGTGTAGTCGTCTTCCTCCTCTTCGTATTCTCCCAAAACCCTAAAGTCTTCTTCAACATGGTGATTGGCGGTGCATCGGTCGACCGGATATTGATGGAGTTGTACGCAGACACCACTCCCCGCACCGCCGAGAACTTCCAAGCCCTCTGCACCGATGGCAAGTCCATCTGCAGCTCCAAGTTCGCCGATTGGAGGGAAAACGGTCTCGTTATCGAAGTCAAAGACCAACGATCACTATCGTCTGTGGCCACGCCTCAGCTGTAGACAATATCCTCACGCTGAGCCAGGACTATGTTGTTCCCACCACCGCCACCACCACTGCCACCGCCACACAGCAGATCTAACTCATGACCTCATCTCACCGTCGTCTGTGACCACGCCTCAGCCGCCGGTGAAGACATTTACCGAGTTGTTTCGGTAAGTATTGCAGAAAGATTGAAGGTCTTTGATTGAATTGGTACCCATGGACTCCGAAGGAGCATAATACAAACTCTTTCTTTCTCTGCGTAGTGGTGAAATTGGGAATGGCGGTGGTGGCGGTAGTGGCGGCTATGGCCGTTGTAATGGTGGTTAAGATGGTGGCTCTGCAGATTTAGGGCTAGAACATAAGTAGAGGACATTTTTGAAAGAATAAAGGCAAAAGTGCAAAAAAAACCACTGAACTACTCATTTTGTTGCAAATACCCCCCTGAACTACAAAAGGTTGCAAATACTCCCCCTGAGACTCACCGAATCAATTTTTCTGGCATGTGTAAAGTCACGTGCCTGTTAAAATTATAATAATGCCCAAACTGCCCTTTTAATATATATATATTGTGATAATTATATGTCTGATGGCCCCACTCCGTACACAGTGTATTTTCCTATATATATATATATATAGATTTAATAGTGCATAGACACTGAATCTTTGATGATACAAAATAGGGTCGGTCTTCTTATTATTTCTCAAAATAATTCTACTGCCCTTTTTCATCAAACCCGCTAGAATACTTGTCTGTGTTAGAATTATTTCTCAAAATAATTCTACTGTCCTTTTTCATCAAACCCGCTAGAATACTTGTTTGTGTCAGAAATTCCATGTTCTTGGTTATGTTTGGTAAAGGCAATTGCTGTATAAGAGCGCATAGGTGGCAAGTTGAATCACCCGAACCAAATATACAATCGGAACTGAAGAAAGATCTGATGATCAAAATGGGCTTCTAATGCCCTTTGACTAAATACCCAAAGAAAGCAGCGATCGAAGTTAGTGGGAACAGATCTGTAGGAACCGTCAAGCTGTGATTAAGCATCACCCTTCACTAAAGCCTTACACATGGTTTTTTTAAGATTCTCCTTCCCTGGGACCTAAAACAAAGGATCCATTGAGAGAAAATATTGCTGGTTCTAATATAGAAAGATGATCAATTTGTGGAATTGTTACAAAAACTCCAGAGATGAAATTTCCCTAATTTTTAATGGAAACCCCAACCCTAAACGCAATCAAACCCATCAGATCTTCCGAATATAGCAGTTTTCAAATCATCTGGACATATAGGCGCAGATTAGTGAGGAGAGAAAAGTGACGAACGATTAGAGAGCGTGTAACAGCTAGGAGCTGCCATGGAGGCAACACCGGATTAGTTAAAGCCCGGAGATTGAAAACCCCAAATTGATGTTGCATCAAAGAGAAAACCCTAGCTCATAGAATGCATCGGATGAGAGAGACGAAACAAAACCCTAAAATTGTGTGATTCAACGAACACGGAAGAGTCAGCTCCAACGAAGTTACCAGTAGTTAGAGAGAGAAAGAGAGAGCCAATCCATGTACGTTCCTGCTGTGTATTGAAGAAGCTAACCATCAATGTCACGATATTACACAACAACGTATTTAGGAATACTGATGGAGAGTAACAGAGGCAAGTGAATAAGTAATTCGAGTTCTCTGTAAGGTTAACCCAATTCAATTCATCAATCCAAGTTTATTTTATTTATTTTACTAGCATACATTTTAAGTGGGTCCCACCATAATGGGTGAAGTTTTATGTTTAAGTAATAAGTAAGGTTATTTCGGTCATTTCAAGTTAACAAACGCCGGAAAGCTGATCCGGTGAGTCTCAGTGGGGTATTTGCAACCTTTTGTAGTCAGGGGAGTATTTGCAACAAAGTGAATAATTCATAGAGTTTTTTACACTTTTGCCTAGAATAAAAGAGCAAAACAAAAATATTACAATTACTTTATGTTTAAGTGAATGTTTTTGCCCAATTACTAAACTATAAGGTAGGGGTAAAAGTTGTTCTCAAGGTATGTGTATGTATATATATATATATATATATATATATATATATATATATATATATAAGAAGGGGGTGAAGGGCACCTAAACCTATTATAAATTTCGTAGAGTTTTTTACACTTTTGCCAAGAATAAAAGGGTAAAACAAAAATATTACAATTACTTTATGTTTAAGTGAATGTTTTTGCCCAATTACTAAACTATAAGATAGGGGTTAAAGTTGTTCTCAAGGTATGTGTGTATATATATATAAGAAGGGGGTGAAGGGCACCTAAACCTATTATAAATTTCGCACAAATCACTTGGTATTAAAAAGATCAACTTTCAAGATTTAGCCTGATCATAATGGACCAATTGAATTGGATGGACCAATTGAATATGTGAATATGGTCAATAAAGGAAATTAATTAAAAGATGACAGTTTTGTTAAAAACCTATGACTTGGTACATCTTTGGCTTGCGGATGAATTTACCTCATTTAATTTATTTTTATTTTTTTCTCTTTTTCAAAACAACTTAAATTTCTCATAAAAAAAATTCTACAATATACACAAGAAAATTTTATAAAATTACTGTAATATCCTTTCTTGTACTGTAAATTTTACCATAAAAATGGTAATTTTTCATAATTTTATTTATATATATATATATGCTAATAAAAAACACGACAAAAAATTTAGTTCATTTACTTTCACTTTTTACATAGACTAAACTATAAATTTTACAAGTAGATGTAATTTTGGATCTTTTGCAAATAGAGATAAAATTATGGGATTATTCTATACATGCAAAAAGAATAATTATGAGAAAATTGGTTTCGATATAGTGGAGCCAAACATTTTTTTTTTTCTTGGAAAATGATTCACATATACAATTTGTCTTTATGGAATCGTATGTAGACCCTAAACTTGAGGAGACCCTTAATTGTTTCCAAAACACTATTTGATCTTATAAAAATAACACTTCTATTTGATTTATAAACATATAATAGGAGGGAGGTTTATAGAATCACAATTCAAGCAAAAATATATTCTTTGAAATATGACATTCATGTGTGTGTATAAGTGATGGTGACAATTCAAAGATTTATTTCAATTGCATATCATTCATGTTGATTTTATGTCACGCTAAGACCACCTCCAAGGACATTGACTTAGATATTCCTTATGCCTTTCAAAGGAAAAGACTAAAAATTCAAATCTCATTGGAAACAAAATAAGTATGCAAGTAACATGCTAAAATTTAAAAAATATAATACCACGAGCCTCTTGTTCAAAGTTATAACCCGACTAAAATCGTAGGACTTAGTTTGGTTAGATAGAAATAGTTAAAAAGGAAAAGAAATAAAAAAAAAAAAAAAAATTAATTTTTTAAAAAGTTACATAGCAGGAATTGAAATTTTTTGTATGAAAGTAATTTTTCGTAACCATTTAACTTTTTCATAAAATTTTCGTACAAAAAACACTTTGAAAATTTTGTTTTTTTGAGAAAAGTGTATGAAATTTCAATTATACCCCATTTTTTTAACTTTCTAAAATAACATATATTTATGCACAACGTTTGATAATAATCTATGTTTTTTTAATAAAATAAAAATTATAAAATATTTGAAAATTTTCATGCTAGCCAAGTGAGTACTAGAAATTTTGTTTTTCTTCATTCACTTTACTTTTTTTATTTTTAATATAAATTTCTATCTACCCACACTATGGAAGGTGTTTGTCAGCCCATTTTGGTTTGAAGTTGATCCAAACAAGTCCAAAGCTAAATAGACATTAAGCCCAAATCGGAGTTAACCTATCATTATCCCCACAATGACATAATTATTATGGATTGATGTAACATATTCCAAATCATGTGGTGACAACGCAGCATAGTATTTTCCATGTGACAAGGAATACATACAGTGTGACCAGTGGTTAATGGCTTTTGCATGCAACCGAGGCCATATCAGGTATTTTACCATTATTATAATTCTGAATTTCTCATAGGGCCTTGTGGATGACTTTCGTAGTCACAATGATTATATATATATATATATGCTAATAATCAAATTATATCAACCTTCCAATAATATAATTACATTTCCAACAATTTTTTTTGTTATTCAAGTATTAATTTTTAGGCCCTGAGATGGAGTTTACAAGTTTCATGTCCCATCAATGTCCAAAAAGTATCTAAGTTCTCAACTATTTGTTCAATTAAAATGATGGATGCAAGATAAACCAGTGACACAAAGGAAAATATTCAGGAGGAAAATAGAAGATAAATCAATTGTTCCTTGTTGAGAATTAAGATAAATTTATAATTTGACATTATTCAAAAGGGAAAAGGAGGAGAATATTGAGGGAACAAATAATTCATTTAAAAAAAAAAAAATCTACCAGCAATGTATTGAAACATTATTCAAGGAGTCTTTTATATCGATTAATAAATATCTATTACTTCACCAAGTTTATGTATTATCTATGTGTCAAATATAATGGACCTATTTTTAAATATAAAGTAATTAATTATTTAGAAAGTTATAATCCATTTGTTAAGTTTCATCTTAATATAGCATATTTGTTGGCGAATAAAATTTTAATCACAAATATATATATATATATATATATATATATATATATTATACATACATCACATTGCATTTCTACAAAGACTGTTGAGATACTTAAGATCGCATCTTTTATATATAATTTGATGTTGTATATTGAAAATTGTGTCTTTAATTATTAATATCCATCTATCGCTTTGATAGGCATTTGTACATTGCTATAATGATCAAAACTAACAATCTATCTCTCTCAGAAACAAAGACAAAGAAGTCTTGTAGTCTTCGTGATAGCCATTTGAAGTCGCCTTGTGGTGACCAGATGAAGCAGAGGCACTGACCAGAGCTTCCGACGAGAGGTTTCGCTTCTTGGAGGCAGCTGCTGCTGCTGCTTCTTCGGAGAAGCTAATCCGAGAAAAGACACCGGCCTTCTGCTTTCGGTCTGCTGCTGTTGTCGTGCTGGTGGTTCTGGGCGGTGGATCTATGGGTGCCGAGGGAGGTTTAGATGGTAAAGAGTCGAAACGGCGGTGGGTGTGGTGATGGTCACGGTTATAGTCGTAGTCGGATTTCCTTTTGGCGGAGGGGCGCGGTGGCTCCAAGTCCCGGATGGGGGGAGGTTTAGATGGTAAAGAGTCTAAACGGTGATGGGTGTGGTGGTGGTGGTCACGGTGATAGTCGTGGTGATAGTCGTAGTCGGATTTTCTTTTGGCGGAAGGGCGCGGTGGCTCCAAGTCCCGGATGGGGCATTCCGGTGATGGCTTCTCAGATCGGTGGCGATAGTGGTAGGAGTCTGTCCCCGATGTTTTGTGGATGGGCTTTTGCTGCAACAAGAAGGAATCAAACCGTATTTAGATTTTTATATATAAATAAATATTTATCTAAATGCTTTAAAACTAAAAAACGTGCGTAAATCATGAACCTAACCCTATCTCATGGAACATTAGAACTAGTTAATCAAGGTTTTGCATCCAATTACTTCTGTGTTTAACTTTTTTTTGAGCTTATGAAATAGAAGGTGAAAAAATATGCATAAATCAAAACAAGCAGCAGCAATTTACTATACAGAAAAATCCAAGTCAGTCAGTAGATTTGCACCACAAATTAAGCAGATATTTTAGTTGCACCACAATGCAGTAGGTGCGCATTCATTTAAACCGAGCTCGACATCAATTGCTACTTCAAACACTTTCATAGTTTGTAAGACAGCACAGCCCCTAGGTTCAATGCCAATCAACCACCGTAGTTATAGGCACTTCTCCAGCCAAGGCTCAAAAAAATTGCTTTTTGAATCTAAAATTTTTCTATGCGGCTGGTTTGGTCATCAAGTCAGAAAATTGAATTTTAAGTCTACGCATAAAGGCCCCATCAGAAGCTGATGAACCTTGGGTAATACAATTCATGTATGTGAAGCTCCATCTTACTGGGGAGTAGTTCGGAAAAGAAACAGAAACTAATATTTACATGGAATGGTTTTTCACAAAAACCCAGGTTCTTGTTTCTTTTCCTACAAATTCTCAGCAATCAAATGGAGCATTAAGTCAAAAAAAAAAAAAAAAAACACAGAAAAAATATTATTTCCAAAAAATATTTAGTGTTTTTTAAAAGATTTTGAATTATTTGAATCCTGACTTCAGGAATAAATGGGATTTTCTTCTTTCTTGACAGTGGAGAAGTAGAAATAATACTCTTGCCAAACTGTCTTTCACGGATTGGTTACCAGCTGCAATACACTAATAATAAAAGGAGAAATACAACAAAAAGACATACAGATTTTGATTTCAATGAAGATACATCGCCACTGCTGCTCACTTCCTTACTGAATTCCCGGTCTCTAGATAATAACATCTCCCTGCTGTAAAAGAAATAAAATTTTATAATCACATAATGATATAAAATTCTAAATAACTAATTTACTTGCACAATGCAAAAGCAAATGATCATTTATGACAAGACAGACAATAATGAATTACGGAGTACAAAAGAGCAATCTATCCTTGCTCAATTGATTCAATACGTTACATGGAAAGAGTTCTCCGCTACAAGCTAGAACACTGGAGTAGACATACAAATCCACTTTCACAAAAGGAACTAAATGTACAATTCTTCCAAAGATATTTTAATTAAAAAAAAAGAAAAAAAAAAAAAAGGAAAGAGGACTGGTGATCCAACTAAGTTTTAAACTATAGTCTGACAAAACATTAACCAAGATATGCTGGCAAGAAGGAACAGATACAAAGCTGGATCTAGTGTATCTTGCACCAACTCTGTGGCTTTAAGCATGGTACAATCTAGCTAAGCTGATCTAAATTGTTGACTTGACACAATAGCTAGATTTGAATTGAGAAGAGACCCCTTGTGTGCAATTCATAGACTAAAAGAACATGTTTGTAAACCACAAACTGCTACTTCGCTAACTCAGTGGCCTAAAGCATGGTACAATCTACTTACTATCTAGGCAAGCTCATCCAAATTGCTAACTTTGTCACATTAACTAGATTTAAATGTGAGAAGAGATCACTTGAAGTTCAAAACTTCGACTCTGTGAACATATTCGCGAACCAAAACCTGCTATTTCACCTTAAAGACACTTACACTTGGCCACCGGCTATCATACTGTTAGCAAATTCACAAAACAAAATAAAAACTACTCCTAAAGGCTACTTGGCAATGATATTCATCTGGTTCTAATCAACTTATCTTTAGGGAAAAAAGATTCCCGAGTAGATCTGAAATCGAAATCTACTTAAAAAAACTAAAGAAAACATGACCTTACAACACATTAGCACATTACATCCAACAAAGTACCACCACCACAAAGGAAAGCAGAATTTTCAAGACTAACCTTTCACCCCGTCTCTCAAATTCATGTTTCCTCCTTAGATCCGCTTTCCGAGCCTCAAATTCCTCTCTGCTCAAGATGGGTCCAGCCTGCATGCCCATCCCGAATTCTGCAAGATCCCTATAATTGATAAAGAAAATTATCAAACGATCAGCAACATATTATGTGCCATATGTTCAACAGAAATTTTCTAACCAATTGAAGACGCACACAGGCTTAATATATACTAAATACATGCAGCATTATTAATCAACCCAATCAACAATCCGGTAACACAATCCATCCGCACCACTTATCCAAAATAAAAAACACATACAGATACACCCATCCCTCCCCTCCCCTCCCCCCTCCTTTTTTTTTCTGGGGTGTGTGGGTGCTGGTGCGCGCGCGCGCGCGTGTGAGAGAGAGAGAGAGAGGAGTGAATTAAGAAACATAGAAGCATACCTTTGTGGCGGTGGGGCCATAGGCCACATATAACCTTGTGCTCCAAAGGGGTCTGGTGGTAAGAACCCCCCAAATGGGACATCTAAAGGACCAAATCCATAACCCATATAAGGCATGGCACCAGCACCATAGGGCGCAGCATATTCTTCCATTCCAGGTTGCATGCCAGTCCTGTAAGGGTTATAGGCAGAAGGCCCCATAGGCATCATATAATTCTCAGCTGCAAAGTCTTGAGAAGCTTTCCACTGCATCTCTGTAGCTTGAAAGCATCAATCATTTGAACAGAATGGTGTCAGCGTCATCAAAACTAAAACTCATTTGACTTGATGAAATTCAACAACCAAGTAAAATTAAATTCCAGAAACCAAATCATAACATACCATTTAAAGGCAAGTGAGCTTTCTTCTTCTTCTTTTTCTTCCCTGAAAAAAAATGTCAAAAAATATTCATGTCCAACTCCAACATATGAGAATTGAGTTATCTCTCAATCCATAGTTGCATTATTTTTAGATAATTCTTATGCAAGGTTCAATTTTACATGCATGTACCCATCCAGCTCCCAACACAATATGACATAGGACCCGGGAGTCCGGGACAAGATGCAGTGGAATTCCACAGTATCTACGCAGCAGATACTAGTAAAATGTTGAGAGAGGCAGAACAATCCATATATTGGCTATAAATTAACAGAGTATTAATAAAACTTTGCGTTACTTGCCTGCCTCATCAGAGACTGGCTTTTGCTGCACTTCTTCATCAGGCAGTGGAGCACTACCCTGCGATGCTGGTTCCTTCACACTCATTGATCCAAGTATAGCTTCAGTAACATCTGCAACTTTTGAATTCCTCCCTTTCTCCAAGGTTTGCTGGGCAGCATTAACAGTCATCCCATGTTCTGTAGTCTCCTTTACTTTTTGAGTCTCTTCAATTTGAGGCAATGTCACTTGCTCTGCCTTTGAGGCCGCTGACAGCGTAGGGGATGGAATCTTAGGCAGTGGACAGCGGGCAGACTCCATATCTGAAGGGGAAAAGGAGTATTATATCGCAACAAGATGGTTGCAACTTGTAACTCGAAACATAACAGACTCACTAGGATAAGATCTTAATACAACAAAAATGTCAATAAAAAACACACCTTGAGCTTGGAAAGCACTGCCAGCATTTTCTGCACTGCATTTATTGGACTCCAAAATCCTATTGATAGTATCCCTGAGTGTTTTATTGGGCAAAAGATCATCTGCGAGTATATTTGTGGCCCCACATACACACATCGACTTAGAGATGATGTGATCTCTTATGCCTGGGAGTTGAATTTAGTAATCAGAATTTGAAAATCAAAGACTAGAAGTGTCAATTAACAACAGAGATATGCAATGCATAAACAAGCACGAACAAAAATCCTAACTACCATAACTTAACAAACCAAAAAGAAGGCACACATTCAGTCTAATTACAGTTCCCTGGGGCTTTTCCTCAATTGCCAAAAAAAAAATTTATACTTGTTTTATGGCATACACCAACGGTGCCCACCTTGGTGTAAGATCGTTACCCCATACACAGTCTACACCCCCAAGTCCTGTACTGGGCAACCCTGGTAAAACCCATGGAATCTAAACCCAAGGGAGGTGAGTTGAACCAAGGTCCCCCACTTCATGAGGCATGGTTCTTGGTCACCTGCTTTACCCATTTTGGGTTGATGCCATATAATTTTAAAAAGACCAATATCAAACAGTTGTTTTGAATAAAATAAAATAAAATAAAAGAAAGAGGAAGAAAAAAACGAGAATCAATGACAAAAATAAAATAAAATAAACTCTAGGTTAACAGAACATCCAGAAAGTTAAAACCCGACGATTTGCATGATCAGAATGCACAATTAGTGCATATGGGCCTTCTGGCACATACAACAGTAAGAAATCTTACATTTATCACAAAAACTATTGAAGCAACACTTGCTCGACAGCACAGCATCTTTCATTACTTCTTTACACAATGGGCAGTGAAGTTCTGGTGGAAGATCGCCAATAGGACGAGTGGAAGGTAACCCCTCAATTTCCTTCTCAAAAGCAGCCCTATATAAATTACAATGATTAAAATGAACCTTCTAACCACAAGAAAGTCTTCCCGACGATACAAAGAAACGACAGAGAGAGAGAGAGAGAGAGAGAGATCAGCTTACTCATTTGGCCTCAAAACAGCTACAGCGCCACTCGGTAATGCATATGAGCCATCTGGAGTAGCCATCAACATAGATTTCGGAATACCAGTGGGAGGTTTCACTCTTTTAATGTCAAAATTAGGATCACCATTTGTGGGGCAGTGCTGAATAAAATGCCCTGAATAATAACATTCCACAATTGAATATATTTTCACCACAGAGTTGCATTTCAACCAACAAAATAACTTCTCCTGCCTCTTTTTCTATCAAATAATTTAAATAAATCATCAAATGCATGAACATACCAGGAACTTTGCACCTGTGACATGTGTAGCCCTGGGGAGGTGTTTTCCGCTCCAATCCTTGACCTCAAGAATTAAAACATAACTTTCAGCCTCAAAAGCATATATATAACTTATTAATTTTACATTTTTTTGGTAAAGTTAAGTGTAAGATTTTACGGTAAAGTTAAGTGTAACTTATTAATTTTACATGAACATAAATCAGTTAAATTTCATGAAAATAAATAAGAATTTCATTAGCAACCACACCATTAAAAATAAAATACCTCCAAGAAAAAAAAAAAAAAAGGCACTCATCAGCGCAGAACTCCACAAAGCAACATGATGCTATATATAATACATAAATAAATAGAAGATATTGTACAAATATACAAGGTATAAGATAATCACCAAAACCACGTCCGTTCATCATTCTTCCGCCCATGCCTTGTCCAAAACCTCTACCCGGTCCAAAGCCATTGGAAGCTTGACTGAACCAAAAATTACAAAAAATAAGATTCTAAAGAGAGATCATTTCCACATCAACTAACCAAAAGCAAATCATTACAATATTAGTTACAACAACAAAAGCAGTAAAAAATCTCACTGCTGCCAATCCAAAGCCGGAGTATCAATTAAAGCCTTGATCTTGCTGTCCTCGTCAACTTTACTAGGAGGGGGGGCATCCTGAATTGGATTGCTAGATTGAACTGGTACGGCTTCAGGAATAGCATATAAATCATTCCCAAATTCATCCCATTCTGAATCTTCAAGCTACATACCCAACAAATGAATTAGTTATTATGCCCAGGTATGAGGACTGACACCTGGATCCATAAAACAAATCCAAATTCTAACGAACCAATATAGAAGCTCAGAGCTTACATATTTCATTCCAGATGGATCAGCTCCAAAGAAGCTACTACTCTTTGCTGATTGAGCATCCTCAGACATATTTTCCACCTTTGGCCTGTACACAAAGAACATATATCGAACTCAACCAAACACTCAGAATTTGTCGCTTATACGAAGATGATCATAGAATCATCAAATGGTTTACAAATGACAAAATGATAAGCACCACAAGAATCAGCCAGCAGGCTACCAGAAACAAGGGCAACCTTAAACTACCAACACAATGTATTTTATCTAACACAACCAATTAAACCAAAACAAATGGAATGCAACAGAGTGGTCAAAAATCTAAAGGATTGAGAGAGTACTCGTCTTGTTCAGCAACTGGTTCAGTAACAATGTTCATGCGAGGCAATCCAGGAACTCGGCGAATTAAAACAGAAGTATTTTTCGGAATCAACATTGCGTCATCGAGATACTCTGAAATTGCAACAGACAGAAAAATCTATAAACCACTGCAAATATATCCATATAACCACACATACAATTGACAAAAAAATTGAATCCCCCAGAAGGCATGTTACCATCGTCCTAAAACAACAAATCAGTTAAACTATCTAACATAAACCCTCCATCAACCTGATTACCATTATCACACCAGTCAATAGCACTAAAAAGCTAGCCAAATTGACCTCACTCTCAAAACAGACCACCCTGACCTTACTTACACTCAAGATAGGCAAGATTAAATATTTGCCCAAATAGGCCAGTTTGACCTTTCTCCCTGAATTAAGCAAGTTTGACAATAAAAACCATCCACAAAGTTTTAACTATTCAATAATAGCAATCCCTCCACTCATGTCACATTCTTCTCTTGTGTTTCTTTCCAAAAGAGACCACCTTGACCTTACTTACACTCAAGATTGGCAAGATTAAATATTTGTCCAAATAGGCCAGTTTGACCATTCTCCCTGAATTAAGCAAGTTTGACAATAAAAACCATCCACAATGTTTTAACTATTCAATAATAGCAATCCCTCCACTCATGTCACATTCTTCTCTTGTGTTTCTTTCCAAAAGTGTGGGCCACATTCAACACCCATAAACTTCTGGTACAGAAGAGTGTTCATGAACCTAATCTATTACTAAAAAACTATTGACTATGGAGATTGAATGAAAGAATATACTTTTATATAATAAAATCATATGAAACAATATACAGTCAAAATTTTACTCATACTAGAGTATTAAACCAACCTTCATTAGTCTGAGCGTTGGTGACAACCAGGTCAAAATCAGTTCCCCTGCCCAAATGCTTGGATTCAAATATATTTTCTTTCAAATTGGCAACTGATATGAAATGACCGTCGATTGAAATTGATTCATAATCTTTTGCACTTTTGAATTTATAATACACAGACATATTTCTTTTAAAAAAAATTTCCCTCTGCTAAAAAATATAGAGAAAGCACGAACGAACACAAGGCCCTAAGGCCGTCAAATAAAAATCGGCCTGATATTGAATGAAACAACAATATACAAAGAGTACAAAAATTTAGCTCTTTTTTTGTTTTCTAATTCTATTCAATAACACGAGAGAGATCGAACCAACGAATGAACTCCTCAAACCGAAAATCAATCGGTCCTTCAATCCCAAAAGATATCTTCAAAGCCGAATACTTCAATCACCGATCCAATCTTCAACTCGTACAGGTAAAAGAAGGCCTCCAAAGAAATATACACCGATTGCAAAGATTTGAATCAGATCGAACCGATTGCAGCGAGAGTCGAAGAAGCCCTAACGTCCCGAAGCCGAATCGCGGCGAGATACAACTCCTCAGATCGACGACGAAATCCAAATACCCAAAAGATTTGAAGCTTCAAAAACCGATCAGATATAAACGCCTATTCTTCGGATCGATTGCAGGTCAGCTAAGTCTTGAATCAATCGCTGGTTGCCTTCCAATAAAATACACGAACTCGAGAGAGTCCATACGATTTGAGCATCAAAAATTCATTGAAAATCGACAATTGATACAAGAGATTGGACAAATTTTCGAACGATTTTGATGCTGAAATCCTAGAACCCAAAGAGGGGCGGAACTAGGTATTGGGTTGCGTAACAGGAAAGCGATAGAGAGAGGGTAGTGAGAGCTTCGGCTATCGATTTTAAGAATATATTGAATACTAGTATATACATAATTTTAAAGGCGGTAATTAAGACATCATCTCTTATTAGATTATGCCCTAACTACCCTTCGTACCATAAATTTTCTTTTTCTATCTTCTATACTTAATTTGACTAATTTTTTTTATTTTTTTTAGGGAGCCTAAAATTAATTATAATTCATTACAAGCCTCCCTCTCCACTCTCTACCAAATTTACAAACAACAAAATCGCCCTTTTATATTGGGGTTTGATTGTTGATAGAGTTTCAACTTCTACTCTTTCTTCAATAGGTTTCCGTTCAATCAAAGACCTACATCTCCAATGCTAGCTTTTAATGCGTTTAATGTGATTGCTCATCTTCATGATGGGTTGGCATCCAAACACGACTAAGCAATGCATTATTTCACTGGGATGTACATGTGCTCTTTCTATATTCTTCTTTCTATTTTATTTATGTATAATCAGTAGCGGAGCCAGGAATCACAATTTAGTGCTTTTATTTTATTTTAGCGGAGCCAGGAATCATAATTTAGGGGCTGAACAAAAAATAAATAAAAAAAATGTAGTTCAATCCAGCATGAGACTCCTCTTATTATAGAGTTCTTGCCAAACTAATACTATATAATTTAAAATTTAAAATTTTATAAATCAATTTTAATACAATTGTTTATATTATATTATTCTTATTATTATATATTGAGGAAAAAAAAATACAGTTCTAAATATGAGAAAAATTAACCTATATAAGTAATTATTAAAACTAATATGAAAAATAAATAAATAAATAAGAGGAACAGATGAATTATAGGTTAAAAAAAAAAATTGTAAACCCAATGACAAAATGGTGAATAATTATTGAACAAAAAAAGATAGTACCGTGTGTGTGTAGAGACTAATAAGAGAGGAAAAAGGAAAAAGAAGAGATGTTGACACAACACTTCAATTCAATGGTAATGACTCCAACATTTATTTTTTCCACTTCATATATACTTTATTAACTGCAATTTATTTTTTTCTATGTCATTTAGATTCCTATTATAAGTCTTTTTTCTTTTCTTTTCTTTTTTCCTTTCTAAAAGTAATATTTAGTCCATAGCTATGTAGCTACATAATTTTAGAATGTCTAAATTGAATGAAGAAAATAAAAAAAATCTTTAGCTTTGATATATAATAGAATACTGCTTCTAGTTTTTTTTTTACGCTTCTAATATTATTTTAATATACTAACAAATAACATATTATATTAAGCTTTACAATCTCGTTTGCTTATATATGTAGGAATGCCAATTGGAAATCTTGAAGATATCACATACGCGAATTGTGGAGGGAGAGGGAGAATGGTAATTGTGGTATTTGAAAAAAAAATATTATTTATTTATAAAATTAGGGATAGAAGTGTCATTTCTTTTAACAGTCTAGTGTAAGTACAGAGAAGTAGAATGCGAATATATTGAATATATACATAATATTAAAAACGGTGTTATGGATGTGGGATCCACATTATGCAATCTTTGAACCTTGCATCATTGCCTACATCATCATTTGAGTGGTGATCAAGTTTTCATTTATCATGAAATTAATTTGTTTACTTAAATGATATATGTGCTCACACTATGGTCAGTTCTATCGCCTTTATTATTTAATAATCTACTAATTATGGTCGGTTCTACCACCTTTATTATTTAATGATCTACTAATTATGGTCGGTTCTACCGCCTTTATTACTTAATGATCTACTAATTATGGTTGGTTCTACTGCCTTTATTATTTAATGATCTACTAACTATGGTCGATTTTACCGCCTTTATTACTTAATGATATGATTGGTTTTACAGCCTTTATTGTTTAATAATTTATTCGCTATGGCTGGTTTTATCACCTTTGTTGTTTAATTATACTTGAATTATAATAGTTTATAGGGATAATTTCACTGACATCCTCAGTAGTTTGGCCAAATATCAGTCTAAAATATCTTTCGAAAATAGCTATCACTTAGGTCCATTTTCACTTTTTCGTTACTGCCTCCGTTAAAAACATGAAAAAAGACATATTTGTCCCTAATTTTTTAATCACATTTAATACAAAATATCAAATAAGGTAAATGACTTTTATACCCCTTATATCTCTATCTGTATTAGACGTCCTCTCTCCTCAAGGACGCTTGTCTGTCTCTCTCTCTTCTCTAAAGATCAAAACCACTCTCTCTCTTCTCTACAGATGCGACCCACAAATTAACAAAACCATGAAACCCTGAAGCACAAAGATTAACCGTAGCAGCTTTGGATCACCAAGGCTGCACAAGAGCAAGTACTGCTCAAGGCACATCAATGATTTACTGGATACAGGACAACCCACAAGACGGCGATAGAGGTCAGCTAGATTTTCCACAAAATCAACGGATTTGAGGTAAGGATCTATGGGTAGCTCAAGAAGGTCAGTTGTGGGGAGTCCATAAAGAAGAAGAGGTTCGGCCATTGACACTGAATTGGTGTCATTAGAATTCGATAAAATGGAATTGATAATCAGGTTGCCTTGCCGGTGGTGGTGGTGGTTGAGCTTGCCGGCGCAGCCACTGGCGGTGGTACTACCAGCGGTGGAGGTATCTGAGGGGCTTAAAGCGTGGACTTGGGTGGTCTTACAACGGTTTCTGAGATTGAGACCGCGCATGGTATCAATTAAAGTAGTGTGTATTGACGGATGAGATTTTCAAACCTTGATTTGGAAATGGGTTTTTTCGATTGATCTCCATTATCAGTTGAAAAAGACATGAATCGAACAGGATTATAAATCAAACGGTTGATTGATTAGCTCTGACTCGCTAACACCATCATTAGAGAGAGAGAAAGAGTTTCTGGCTAAAGTCTAAAGACTCTGCTTTGGTTTTCTTTCTTTTGTAAGCATTGATGCAGAACATATCGTCGGTGTTTATGGAGCTTAGCGGCATGGTGGTATGAGGGAGGAGAGGACACGATGTATATATATATATATATATATATATATATATATATATATATATATATATATAAGAAGCAATAAAGCTATATAAGGAGTGATTTAATTTGTAGAGTTCCAGTAATTCTTAATCCACACAATCCTTGTTGAAATTCTGGCAATCGTCGCTCACTTTTTCCCCGAACCTGGCTTGCGGACGCATAGTGCTTCATTTCCGGCGAGAGCTGATTACATATAGTTTATTGTATATAAATTTTTGTATTATTATTATAATTTTTTTTTTTTTTGGTAATTAATCAATTTTGGGGAAACCAAACCCATTAATTGTTTCTTTCAATTTATTAATCAGGTATTTACAGATTGATTTGGGAATTTAGTATTGGAGTTTATGGCACCAATAAGTTATATATAGAAAGTGTATATGTTGTTGTGTATGAGAGAGAGAGAGAGGGGGGAAGATGAATTAGACAGATGAAAAAAAATAATATAAATTAAATATAAATATAAAGTGATAGAAATAGACTTCAATTCACATGCTTTACAATAAAAAGCAGGGTTTTTGTTGTCCAAAAAATATGAGGACGAGCCTATATATATATGAAATGATGGAATATATGAATGGGTGATTGATCATAGAACTGGACACTTGTAAAAAATTTCTTATTTTTTTTTTTCTCTTTTTAAATTTCATTAATTTCTTTAAAAAAATAAAATTTTCTTATTAAAAAAATATATGAATGGATGATTTTTTGATAAGTGCTTAAATGTTGCACATTTCAGCACCTAAACTAGGGTATTTCAGTCTTTGCATCTATCTTAATTTCATGTTTTAGTCCTAATTTATGTTTATGTATATTTCAGGCGATAAAGTTAAAATGAGCTAAGAACGGTCCATTAAAGCCTTTTTGGAGTCAAGCAAAGATATTCAGAAAAAGCTCAGAAAATGACAAAAAGGAGGTCGCAGCCCATTGCTCGTATAGTGTGTTTATTCTTCAAAAGCGGTCAATCTCAGGCCTTTGATGATGTTCCCAAAGATGAAGAAGCAAATTAATGAGCTTGGGGCCAAAATGGAGCTAAATAGGGCTTAAAAGAAATTTCCAACTCTGGGGGGATCGATCCCCCAGGACTTGGCAACATTATAGGATTTTCTTATTGTTTGGGCTTATTTTGTAAACTATTGGGCTTTAATAGGGTTATTATTTAAGGCCCAGTGAGCCATTAGTTTAGGGTTAGTTTTTATTTTATTTATGAGAGAGTTTTATTTTTATTATTATTAAGTTTTTTTTAGTTTTTTTGTACTGTGATATTACATTCTCTCTGGGAAAAAGGAAAAACTAGGGTTTGAAGAACATTTTTACAGAGGCTTTGTCTACAATTGAAGGAAGAAGAAGAAGGAGCCAAAAGATGGAGATGGAGCTTGTTGACACAATGATCATCTTCTCCATGAGCTAGTTCTTCACTTAGGGCTTAGATAGCCCTAAGTTCATGTAACCCTAACCTCTATATTTCTTTTCTTGGGGAATTATTATGTTGTAATTAAATTATATGGCCTTGTGATTTCTTTATATATACATGCTTGATTTGATAAATTAGGGTTTGAATTGATGAATTCTTCCATTGAAATCTCCAATTGATTGTATGTCTATGTATGATTAATTAGGGATTTTATTCTTCATTAGATGATTAGAACTTAATTCTTTCATTAATTCTATATGTAATTTGCATGTCTATGTGTGATTACTTTAGGATTATATTCTACATTAAATACTTCTTGTAGTTGTGTTTAGTGATGGCCATAACATGATACTTATTTGATACAATTGTGAATTAATTTGATGGATAAAGACTTAATCTTGATGGGTTGTTCTACAAATTAGCTTTCTTGTTATTAGTTAATTGTAGTTAAGTAGGCAATTTGTGCTTGATTATGTTAATCCATACTTCTAATTACAATTAGTATTATTCTCTTGATTGATGTGTGCTCTTATTTGATACATTTGTGAATATATATGGTGGGTTATGACGTAGTCTTGAATGGGTTCTACACTTTAGTTTAATTGTCATTAAGTAGACAACTCATTCTTGATGTTGATAATCTATGCTTACAATTGTGATTTGTGATGATAATGTGGCTACATCTATAATTACACTAATGATTTCCCCATTAATTGAAAGCATATGGTTAATTGTATGAGCTTAGTGGTGAATCCTAACCCTAAGACTCTCTTCATATCTCTTTAATTCTTAGTTTAATTTAATTTAATTTACTTGCATTGTCATTTATATTTTCATGCTTTCGATTTAACTCTAGTTTAATCACTTCACCAAAAATCTTTTTTTTTTCTCTCTCTCTTTCTCTCTCTCTCTTGTGCAATCTCATTAGCACTAAAATCAAGTTTAATCCCAACACGTGTTCAATCCCTTGGGTTCGATCCCTACTCGCTTCATACTACATAGTATAAGTGTTTAGTGGTTTTATAAATTTTAAAATATGATGCCCACTTGACACCATTTCCAAAACCAAAGTGTTGTGCATTATTTTGTGCACACGCTCGGGTCACATCATTTTTCTTATTTTAGTTTTTAAAATTTTTCTTATTTTTCTCTTTCTCTTTTTAAATTTCATTAATTTCCTTACAAAAATAAAATTTTATTACTTAAAATTTCATTAATTTCCTTAAAAAAATATATGAATGGGTGATTTTTCTTATTTTAGTTTTTAAAATTTTTCTTATTTTTCTCTTTCTTTTTTTAAATTTCATTAATTTCCTTAAAAAAATAAAATTTTCTTACTTAAAATTTCATTAATTTCCTTAAAAAAAAATATAGAACCGAACACATGTATGGCGTATAATAGCCCTCAATAGCAAACTGTATGATGTTGATCACCTACTTTATGTATTCATGTATATGGAAAAGGAAGGGTAAACATGTCATTTGAATAGTCAACCTAAAGTCAAATGAGGGTAAACATGTAATTTTAATCATTAAAGAAACAATTTGTTAGGTCAAACCAAAGTCAAAAGGTAAGAATGTCTTTTTACATGTAAAAAGTGGTCTAACACACCTGTCAACTAACTTTTGGGGTGTGAGTGAAAAACGAAGCAAACGTTTGTAATGTGAGTGATAGTTATTTTCGAAAGATGTTTTAGACTGATATTTGGCCAAACTATTGGGGGTGTCAGTGAAATTATCCCTAGTTTATATTATGTTGTTGTTTCACTTAATGTCATTTCATTATTAAGATATATGTTTATTTTTATACTATGCTAAATTGTATTCTTATATTGTTGTCACATCTAGTTATTCTGAAAATGTCAAACTTAACAAAGTTAGAATTCGTAAACTTGGACATTTCTGGTAAAAATTATTTATCTTGGATTCTGGACGCTCAGATCCATTTACATGCCATAGGTCTTGGAAACACAATTAAAGAAGAGAATTGTGTATCATTACAAGATAAAGTAAAGGCTATGATTTTCCTTCGTCGCCATATTAGTGAGGAATTAAAAATGAATTCCTCACTGAAAGAGATCCACTGAGTTTGTGAAAAATTTTAAAAGAAAGATATAATCATCAAAAAACTGTTATCTTCCCAAAAGCTCGGGTTGATTGGCAGCAACTGCGGTTGCTAGATTTTAAAACTGTAGTTGAATACAACTCTAACTCTGCCCTATTTAAAATCAGCTCTACACTGAAATTATGCGGTGATACCATCACTAATGAACTTTTGTCGGACAAAACATTCACCATATTTCACGCCTCGAATGTATTCTTACAACAATAATATTGATAGCGTAGATTTGAAAAATATTCAGAGCTGATATCATGCTTACTTGTGGCAAAGCAAAATAACGAGTTTTTGTTAAGAAACCACCAGTCCCGTCCAACTGGATCGACACCAATTCCTGAAACGTATGTTGCCTCATTCCGTGGACGTGGACATGGTAATAGACATGATCGTGGTGGTAGAAATGGTTCTAATAATAAATACGACCGTGGTAAAAATAACTACTATAATAATGAATATGGTCGTCGTAGAAATCACTCCTATTACCGTGAAATATATCAATCCTCAAACTTTCACAATCAGAGATCCACACCATATCCCCAAAAGAGATATTATAATGAAATGAAACAAGTAAAAGGGAAGGATGTGGCTCAACCTCCCATGGTACATGATAATACTTGTTATCGGTGTGGAATGATAGGGCATTGGTAGAACAGTTGTCCTACATCTAAGCATATAGCTGAACTTTACTAAGCCTCGATGAAAGAAAAGGGGAAACGAAAAGAAATGAATTTCATTGATCATGATCAGCCAGTTGACATCACAAATTTGGATGTATCAGATTTATTTTTAGGACCGTGATGGAAAGATGTTTCACCTGATTGGTGATGGAAATGTCCATACCAATTAATCTTCTTTTCATTTCATATTCTTTCTACTATGTTTATCTTCAATAAGTTTTTATTTTCCTTGTATTAAAGTTTTTTAGGAATGGTGAAAATTAGAGAGAAATCATACGTGTTGTATGATTAATTTGTGCCAATACAAGAGAGAGCAATTGAGAGAAAATTCTCCTTGTAATTCTTCATCTTTTTCATAGTGAATTTGTTCGATATGCTTTATGTACGTAACCCTGAGATTTGGGTGAACCATGTATATCTTGTATTCTTGTGTGTAATTTTTTCTTTGTGATTGCTTAATTATTCCTCGAACAGTGCGCGTTGGTATTTTGCATTTCCGCCACAACAATTGGAATAAAATCTGGTTGATTGTGCAGAGCAATTCCAACAAATTCTTAGACCCTAAGATGAAGTTTACAAGTTTCATGTCCCATCAATGTCGAAAAAATATCTAAGTTCTCAATTATTTGTTCAATTAAAATGGCGGATGCATGATAAACAAGTGACACAAAGGAGAATATTGAGGAGGAAAAAACAAAGATAAATCAATTGTACTTGTCAAGGTATATTTTTTTGCTACATTAACATTCAATAATTGAAGTTGTAGAGAATTGAAATACATTTATAATTTGACATTATTCATAAGGGACAATAAGAAGAAAGAGGGAACAAATAATTCATTCTAAAAAAATTTTGCAAGTCCATTCAGCTATTGGAACACTATTCAAGGAGTCTTGCTATTTTACACCGATAAATAAAACCTTACTACTTCATCGAGTTTATGTGATTATTTAAGTGTCAAATATAATGGGACCTATTTTTTAATATAAGGTAATTAATTATTTAGAAAGTTGTAATCCTTTTTTAGGTTTCGTCTAAATATAATATATTTGTTGGCGAATAAAGTTTTAATCATCATGTATATCAAATTGTATATATATTTTATATATACATCGCATTGCATTTTTATAAGGGTTGTTAAGATACTTACTATCGCATCTCCTATTTATAATTAGACTGTGTATCCCGAAGATTGTGTCTTTAATTATTAATATTCATCTATTGATTTGATAGGTATTTGTTTATTGCTATAAGATCAAAACTAATGATATATGTGACTCCTAAAATAATAATAATAATAATAATAATAATAATAATAATAAAAACCTTAAAGAAAAATTGGAAAGTATTAAAACATTATAAAATATTGCAGTTTTTGTTTTAGATTTTGTATAAATAGAATTTTTATATTTGAGTATTATGAAAGTTACAGTGAAAGCGAAAAAGAAGATGTTACCAGGATGAAAGTCTGAAAGGTTGAAGAAAATGGTTATGAAAACTATTTTATAAAAATATTAATGACACTTATTTAAATTAAAATTTTAAAATAACACATCATATCTTTATCTTTTATCGATTTAATTTCCATTGTTCAAGTCTGATTAAGTAATGTCAATGTCTCTTGTCTTTTTATCCCATCAATTAGTGGGTGTCAAGTTGTTTTATGCCACATTTACGTCTTGTCTATTTATCCCATCAATTATTGAATGTCAAGTTGTTTTATGCCACGTCCATTGATTGAAGTTGCTGAGACTTGAAATAGACATTATTCATTTTTAACTAAACATTTAAACTTATTAATACAAAAATAGTAAGGAGTGACATTCATTAAAAGTTAAATCATAAATCACCTTACATTGCATGAAATATTCTTTGAACTCTAAAGCCTTAAATGATCACATGAATTGAAAAACCACTAAAGAAATTAGATCAATTATGTTATATGGAATCAAATATTTGGCCATAAAAAGAAAACAAGAACAATGTCTTTATATAGACGAAATAAGGATTTTAAATTGAAGAACAGTTGTATTAGAAGGTAAGATTAGGAAATGGCAATAAAAAGTAATATAGAATGATTTTATTAAAGTATATTTTAAAAAAATTAAATATGGTAGGTAAAATGAGAATCCATTCACGCGGGATTGATACAAGGATGGTTCTGCTGCTGCTTAACCCTAATTTGACATGTGTCATGACATAGTTTGGTTGTATGAAAGAATCTGTCCACTCCGTAAATGTCTATTCAAAATCAGAATAAAAAAATTAAGAGCAGTTTGTGAAAAGTCAAAGTTATATAACGAACTATATTATATATATATATATATATATGCACGCCACTCCTTTCATTCATCATTTTTTCTCGTCAGCCGCGTTTTCTTACCTTTTCCCACATGCTATTCTACTTTTCTCTCTCAAGTTTCAAAATTTTCCCGTCAAAATTTTCCTGGAAAATTAATCTCTCTCTTCAGTCTGTACAGTTAAGCTCCGGCAGTCCAGCGACGTCGTATTTTCTGGTCTCTCTTCCAGCTTCCTCGATCGAAGGTATAGTATTTACTATTGCGAATTTAGTTATACGTTTATGATGTTTCAATTATTTGATTTATTCTGATAATACACACATACACAAACGCTCAAACATTCGTTTTTCTTTTTCAAATTGTCATTTGATTTCTGGTAATAAATTTCTAATTGGATCAATATATATTCGTGGTAAATTGGTAATTGTGTGGTTTAATTTCAGTACTTGCTCATTTGCGCTTGAGATGATTATGGAAGATCGGAGATTGGGATAGTACCGTCAAATTTAATTGAAATTTATAGTTATTCAACTTAATGCTCCGTTTGGTGTCCAGGAAAAAGTTTGAGAATGAAATAAATTGGAAATTTTGAATATTCATATTCCAAAAAAAAAAAAAGAAAAAGGTCTGCTTGCTTTATACTTTCATCTAGCTTGGATTTTTAATTTTTTTATATATAAAAAACACATTAAACATACAACTCAAATTTTATATATTTTCTTCTCCTTAGTTTTCTCATCTTCCAAACTATTGGTGCTTCCCGTATATGTATATCCTTCATGATTTATCAATACTTTTTGTTTGTTAACTGTTCTGTTCTTATTTATGCTAAAACTAGTAATTCCCAGGATAAAAATTATAGTTCTATTTTCTTTAACTTTGAATTAAACTTTTCTTCAATTCCACTAATTCAAATTCCATAGAGTCTTAAGAAAATACATTATGGAATTGGAATATGTGGAATTGGAGAAAATTATAGTTCTATTTTTGTAACTTTGAATTAAACTTTTCTTTAAGAATTCCACATATATTTGATGCTGGGAGAAACTTAGGCTACGTTCGGCTGCATGGAATTGGAGCCTTGAAATTGGAATTATTGCACCCAAACCATGTATATACATTAACAATATGCATTGATGTTTTCACAATTAAGCATCCATGCTAAGAATTAGTAACTCATTTCCTTTTTTGGGAACATGCTTCAGTTTCTTGCCAAGAATGTCGAAAGCTGCAGAACAACAGGGAGCTTTGTGTTAGATGAAAATCAGATTTTGGCCTTATCAAGCACTGAACATGAGGTGATTCTATCAGTCTTTTGATTGGCAAATTCAGAAGATTCTAGTACAAGCAGGTCATCTGATCTGACAAGACAACAATTGAAAAAGTTATTACGGGTTATACTTAATTTCCTGATGTTCAGAGTCAATTGGAGAAAGTTGTTTTTTGCTGGTGCCATAATTACAATAGTAGGTGTTGCAATTCAAATATATACAACTCCTTATCCACTGACCGGATGGATTCCAGAACATCCGGTAACTTTTTCATCGTACAATCCCTTGAACAGTACTATGATTTTGAGTGAAACCCTTTCCCTGGCAAGAATTGAACAGTTGGAACCCGTTCCAATCACCCCCGACATTGTGCTGAATGCTTCCACTGAACTGAATCAAGAGGAAGGTAATGAAGTTTCTCAAAAACGAGGTGAATCTAGAAGACGAAGGAAGACTATGAAGCAGGATGTTTTGTTAACTTCTTTCCCTCCTTCTACTTCTCCTTCTCCTCGTGGAATTGTGCCTTCCCGTTCGCTGGTAATATTTGTTGAGATTACTCAAAGCTATAATCTTTCTTTCCTTTTCTGATTTTTTTCTTTATATCTCTCCTCCTTTTAAACTGTTTAGAGATACATATGGTCATTGACGCCTGATGAGGCACTTCTGTATGCTAAGAAAGAGATCCAGAATGCCTCAATTGTCACTGATGAAACAGATCTATATGCTCCTTTATTCCGGAATGTTTCTGTTTTTAGAAGGTACATTTCATGGTTTCTATTTAACATGTTTTTCCAATTGTCATGGCATTTACTATACTATAGTTGTTCATGCTTATGTCTTCACCTCCAAGCAATCTGCAAAGGTGGGACTGGATAATGGCCTACTTTTTATTGGAATGCATTGTGATAATAATTGATTAAAATGGTGATTGCACAATCTTGTTGCTAAAGAATAATTTGAACAATTTTTGGAGGAAGTACTTTTTAAGACATAAATTAAAAGGTTTTTGTGCACGAGTGAAGGTTCCATATGCAAATGGGTGAATGAATATATTATTTGCTTATTTTCAGAAGAAATATTTTAATCTGATATAATTTGTGCCCCTTCTGAAATCTTTGTTAGTATTTTTTGGTAATTAATTCAAGTTAAAATAGTGAACTTAAGAATTATGTAGGAGATTTTTAAAATTTTTTTTATTACTTTTAAACGTCTGTTGCACTTGATCTCTTAAGTAACTTCATCGAGCATATCATGCCCATTTCTATCTAATTTGACTCTAGTAAATGGTGGAGTTTGGAAACTCATTATTTCTTTTACCCGGTAGAAAATATTCTTTTCCCTAGGAATAAATTAGTGTGTGGAAAATATTCTTTTCCCTAGGAATAAATTAGTGTGTGGTTTCAGAACTATCTCATTGTTCGAATCCTATTTTTCTATTCTTCCTTTTTTAGGGCCATAATAACGTCAATCCTTGCTAATTCCACCCATGTTGATTTTGGTCTTCTATTTCCCCTAACATTGCCCTCAATAAGGACCATGTGACCCTTCCTAAATGGTGCACTTAGTGGTCTTCTTTGCATATGTCCAAACATTTTATTCCATTTTCTCCCATTTTATCTCCAATTGGTGTTACTTCAACCATCTTGAAAACGTGCTTATTTCTAGTTCTGTCCTTTCTTCTCTTGTTGCACATCCATTCAACATTTGCACTTCCACCACATTACTTTATGCTTAGGTTGTTTCATAACTGCTAACATTCTAGCCCACAAATATTGGCTGGTTTAATAACTGTTTTATAGAACTTCCCTTTCAATCTTTTTAGGAATCTGTCGATTGCACAATATATAAGACCCATTTATCCAATTAAATCCATTCCGTCTTGATTATGTGTTTAACGGCATCTCCAATTTCTCTTTCATTATGAATAATTGAGCTTAAATAGCAGAGATGTTAACTTTTTGGTATCTTTTGATCTTGAAACTTCACTACCTTCCCGTATTTGTATTTCTAGATTTAGTAAAGTTGTAAACCATACATTCAGTTTATGTTTAAAAGTAAATAAATCTAATTTCAGGAGCTACGAGTTGATGGAACTCATACTCAAAGTTTACATTTACAAAGAAGGAGCAAGGCCTATTTTTCATCAACCCTATCTAAAAGGAATTTATTCGTCTGAAGGATGGTTCATGAAGTTAATGGCTGAAAACAGGCAATTTGTTACAAGGGACCCAGAGAAGGCTCACTTATTCTATCTGTCATATAGTGCACGTCAGCTGGAGAAGGCTCTTTATGTGCCTAACTCACATAATATGAAACCACTATCATACTTCCTCAGGGACTATGTGAACATGATCGCTGCGAAGTATCCTTTCTGGAACCGAACTCATGGATCGAATCATTTTCTGGTTGCTTGCCATGATTGGGTATGGTAGTTTGAATACTAATGTTTATATGTTGTATCTTGTGTCCGTATAAATGCTTAGATGTATCAGTTTGCTTTTACTAATATAGGAAACTGTCAAGTCGAGGATAGATATTCTCTAATTTATGACTAGTTCTGTTTTACTAGCGAATAATTTTGATCAAGTGTTTCAGAAAGCCATGTTCATAACGCACTTTAAACATCAAATTCACTCTTGACCAAAGGGAAGTATTTAAATAGTGAAAGGTACAAAGGTAAAGATTGTTTGGAGTTCAACATATTTCTGGGAGGAATTTCGGATCAACTGGATGGTTTTTTTCAACTGGCTTTAGAAGGCATGACAGTGCACATTGAATGTAGGGGCCCAAATATGAAACACATAGCAGCTTAGTTTGTATATTGTCTTGATGAGATGATCACACATTTAGCCACTCGCAATACTTCACATGATAATTTCCCTGAGATTATCAGGTGCATCCTAATTTTAAATTTTGCATCATTGCCTTTTATGAGTAACGCACTTCCATGTTATGTCCCATGGTGAAGCACATTTCTTTTGGTCTTCTATATTTTCTGTTGGCAAATATCATTATTAAATTCCTCTGTGTGTGCGTGTGTGTGTGTAGAACTTCATTGGAGCTATGGGGGCATCAAATAGAAGCAATTTTAGTTGGAGAATATTAGCCCACATTGTTGAATATCAGATTGAGTTTTGAGTTTAACGGGGTGCTACAAATCTCAGCTTTACGTCTTATAAGTGATCTTTAAAAGATGCTGATTGCGTTGGCTGGCCTTATTAGACAAAGCAGAATGGTAAACAGGATTCATATATTGTAAGCCCAAATAGTTGGGACTGTACTGTACTGTTGAGTTTCCATCTGGCTCGGGTAGTTAGCTGGTGTCTGTGAGACTCTGTGCAGTTGCTACACAGATCTAGATTCTAGGAAGACATGCTTCACATAAAAGACTTACCATTCCTTATTTTCTGGATTTCAACTCCCCTTCGTCTCTTACTGATTTTATGTTCATTCAAATAAATCCCATCTTCTCTTCTCTTCTCTAACTTTTTCTCTGTATGATCTGAATTCTTTTGTAGGGCCCTTACACACTGACTGAGCACAATGAGCTAAGAACAAATCCCATAAAAGCTCTCTGCAATGCAGATGTGTCTGAAGGAGTATTTATTGCTGGAAAGGATGTCTCCCTGCCAGAAACTACCATAAGGAATCCCCGTAAACCTCTTACGAATCTTGGTGGAAGAAGAGTGTCACAGCGCCCAATCCTTGCCTTCTTTGCTGGAAAGATGCATGGTAGGGTCCGTCCGAAACTTCTCAAGTTTTGGCGTAACAAAAGCGAAGACATGAGAATTTATGGGCCTCTTCCCAAAGTCTCCAAAATAATGTCCTATGTTCAATTCATGAAATTAAGTAAATACTGCATTTGCCCAATGGGTTATGAGGTGAATAGTCCCAGGATTGTTGAGGCCATATATTATGAGTGTGTTCCAGTGATTATTGCTGATAATTTTGTGCTTCCATTTAATGAAGTGCTAAATTGGAACGCTTTCTCTGTGATTGTGGCTGAGAAAGATATTCCCAAGCTGAGGGATATTTTATTGGCCATCCCTCTGAGACGATATGTTACCATGCAAACCAACGTGAAGATGTTGCAGAGGCACTTCCATTGGAACCGAATCCCAATCAGATATGATTTGTTCCACATGATTTTGCATTCGATTTGGTTTAGTCAGCTTAACCAGATTGAAGTACCACAATCGTCATAAATTCTTGGGATTTTTTTTGTGTGGATTTTAGTCCATGAAGTACAGTTGATTTTGGATGTAGAGTAAACATGCATAGCACATCAAGTACTTATTCCGATAATTGAATGGTGGTTATGGAGAAATCCAACCGTATCATTGCATTGAACTGAGAAGAGGTTTGAATACTTGGTGGAAAATCGGTGACAACCAGAATGAGGACCGCTCTAATGCAGGTACTGCATGATTGTTGTTTCGCGTAGCTGATTGTTTATGTTCTTTTTCTACATAATAGTTCATCATGGTTAGCTTGAATCCCACTTGCCTTCCAAATATGTGCACTGTTATCATGACAAGCATAAGTAATTGGACCAGACCAGTCATTGTCACGGTCGATTGTTTTTGACAAGTTGTGCTACCACTTGCTGAAACATCAAAGTAGAGAATTCTCAACAAGATTTTTTGAAAACGACAGTAATATTTGTATGTATGCTATTGTTTTTTGGGTGAATATTGTATCTATACCATTGGTAATAGAAAACTGGATAAAATTATAGAAAATATGCTTCTAGAATTCGTATCTGATGTTCTCTCACAATTGCATTCGGATTTAAATTGAAATGTAGTAAAAATTTGACGATGAACTATCATGTTTATTCATGATTCACCACTCCTCATAACCTTTCTTTTCAAGCTTTCTGGTAGCTCAAGTTTTAATTTTTATGTTCCTTAATTGCAGGTAGAACAAGAAGTTCTCTAATTTTTGTATTATCACACTGAGACAAGAGAAGGTTCAATGCCCGCGGACATAGTCCAAGTTTTATTCGATCCGTGTGAGGGTGCCATTCACGGGTTCGATGAATTAGTCCGGCAAAGCCCCCTTATCGAAAAAAAGAGGGAAGGTTCAATGAACCAGATTTTCATTTTTTGTGGTTGTCTATAATAGGTGACGTGAGCAGAAATCTGATTGAAAAAAAAGGAAAGAAAATGTTTGTGTTGTGACAAGACCACATAGACTTTTCTTTTTGGCCCATTTGTACTATATGATTCGAGGATTAATTTGAATGCATACTTTCTTGTCATTTCACGACTTGTAAAACAACAATTGTGGCTGATGTTTGGCACTTCTTTGAAAAATAGTGAATCTTTTTCTCTGAGAAATTTCAATTTTGCCCCTGTGATGGCTCATTCCATTGATGCTCATCTTTCTAACTGTTCCTTAATTCATTTATGGGGGAAATGTTGTACTGGTATCCTTGGATGTTATTTTTCGTATATACCTTTTTTGACGTCTTGGCCAAGATCAAGTATCTTATAAGTTTAATATCTAAAGCACGGGTCAATGTCCGACACGAAATTAGATTGATTTTCTTAGGGGGGCTCACTGCAATAACTTGCTTCTGGGGTCATCTTGTGTCGCCTTGTCGTTGCACAATTGCCTTGGCCAGGCACCATTGTCATATAAATTCAATGGGGTTTATTTTTTATTTTCAAATATTTTGGTACGGACAAACCAAGTTTCTTTCACCTTATTTTGGTCCATCTTTGCAATTATTGTATGAATGCGATGGAATTTTCAAGTTTTTTGATAATGACAAAGCAAGGCTGCTTTCGCGTTTATGTGGTTTGACGTTCATGTTGTCTTGGTAGGGACTGAATGAGGTTGCTTTAAATGTGAAGACTTGGCCATATTACATTGACTTATGCTCACTTCTCATTTTATTCCTTTATTATGTTAGATGTATGAAATTAAAAGATGTTCACAGACTCTCAAATTGACAATAAATAAAATAATTCAATAATTGATGTCTGAAAATGATTGAACTCGTGGAGATATACTTCATGAGTTCATCACAACCACAATTTTTGATGTTACAAACTCCTCAAAACCCCACACCAAAAGACCAAATTCTAATGCTGAGGCCACGCAAAAGTCTTGAAATGTCAATTTGGTCCAACTTTTTATAAAACCAGTGTCCAGAACTCAGAAAACATAATACAGTTCTTTTGACAAGAGATATTCTTACGTAACTTTTTGGAAAACTACTAAAAAAAAGTTTCAAACAAGGGAGAGAGGGGACTCGGGGAGCTAGATGCGCTATCAAATACTCTACCAATTAGGTCACTGGGTAATGCCGAGGGACTGAAACTTACACATACCACCAACGGACCAGTGTTTGTGAGTATCAACCGGAAAAAAAAAAAAAAACTTACACATACCAACTATAAAAAAAAGTTACTGTTTATGCCTTCACTTTTGCAACCCAAAAGCTTCATGGTCAGTGCATTGCACAAGGCATATATTGAGCAAGTCAAGATCACTTAGTTTATTGATCAAAGCAATGAATTCAAAATTTACAGCATTAGTTTCTCTAAGCTAGGCACTCACTCACTCACTACAATTTACACAAACGTCACATTATTCTCAGTAATCCACGGATCCTCATCGAGTTCAAGAAACTTGTTCACCCACTCCAACCCATAGGTGCCTTCGCTAGAGAAATCGAAGAATTCGTTCACATCAAAGCTAACCCCCTCGTCTCCACTCCCGGTGGTGCTAGCTTCTTTCTCCGCCTCAATGGTGGCCACATTTTTCGCAGGTGCAGTCTCTTGTGACGTCGAAGTTACTGGTGTTTTCTCTTTTCGATTTATTTTCTTGCTCAAATGGGAATTCCAGTAATTCTTTATTTCGTTGTCAGTTCGACCTGGAAGCCTCCCAGCTATCAGAGACCACCTATCAAAACCCCAAGAATGTTAACTTAAATAGTGCTAAAAAAATTCTATGCAAAATGAGAAAAAAAAAAAAAAAAAAAAAATGGTTAAACCATTTCTATGGTTTGGCTTAGTTCTGACCTGTTTCCTAGTAGCTTGTGAAGTCTGAGTATTAAGTCCTCTTCTTCATCAGAAATGTTGCCTCTCTTGATGTTAGGTCTGAGATAATTCAACCATCTCAATCTACAGCTCTTCCCACACCGGTTTAAGTCTGCAAGAACGAATATATGAAAAACCCATCAAGCCTAAAGTTCAAAATCAAGAAACCAACATGTTGTTGATGAATTGGGTTAGAGAATTTTGTTGAAAAACAAATATATATATATATATATATATATATATATATATATATATATATGCAATTACCTGATTTGATTGCTACTGTTTTCCACTTCTTTGCCCCATGGATTTCAATGTACTGTGCTAGTTTTTGATCTTCCTCAGCTGTCCATGCTCCTTTGTTAAACACTTTTTTAGCTGACCCTTCATTCTTTGGAGCCATAGATCAGATGTTTGCGTGTGTGTGTGTGTGTGTGTGTGAGAGAGAGAGAGAGAGAGAGAGAGGGGGGGGGGGTGAGAGATAGTTAGTGTTTTTGTCAGTGAGTGAGTGAGAGAGAGAGAGAGAGAGAGAGGTGGTGAGAGAGAGAGAGAGGATGTAGTGGAAATGAGGGTGGCAAGTTTTTTAAATATGGAGGGGTGAGGAGCATTGGTGATGATGGTTAGGGAACTGCTTGGTCAGTGGAGTCTATCTACCCTTCTTAGGGTGGAAAAAAGAGAAAAAAAAAAAGCCCAACTACCAGTTATAGATCAGTTGTATGTGAGAATGGGAAGTAGAATACTGGAATGTATTATGAATAGTACTAGTATGTAGGAAAAAGAGGTTGGCATGGTTTTATGGTCCAAATCATTGAGGAGAGGAAAGGATGCTTCCAACCTTGTACCTTTTTAAAAGCTGCAATTTGAGAACTTTTCACCATTTTTTTAAATTTTAAATTTTTTATATTTTATTTGGAGAATCAAGAGCTAATAATCTTATGGAATATCACTCATGATATTCCAAAATGGTTTTGGCTGTTTCCTCTTTGCAGTGGCACAAAGACTCCTTTGTGTGAGGGGAAGAAAGTTAGTTATCTTCCTATCAATGGCCAGCAATGGGGACCAAAAATAAATTATGAGTGAGAAGACTAACCAATGTTGTCATGTTGTTTTCTTAGGTTTCCTTTTTTACTTGGGGGCTCATTCATTCATATGCAAAGTTTCTTTTTAATGTTCATAGTTGACCTATTCCTCACTGGCCATTCTAACTTCACACAAATACACCATCTCTTATCCACCTCTCTTTCACTCAAAACAAAAACATAGGGTAAAAGTAATTTTTTTTTTAACCTTTACACATCTTCGTCACCTTTTGAAAGACTTACGCTTCACAAAAAATGTGTACATGAAACTGTCCCTTAATCTTGACTTTTGACAGTATTCTTCGTCACTCGCCTCCGGCCCCTGAATTCTTCATAGTGGGCTGGCATAATTTCATTATTATTATTTTATTTTTTTAATCATGACAAAAAATTCACACATCCACGTTGTCTTAATGAAAACATGAACTCCTAAAAGAGTAGCATTAAACTACACCCATAGATTATATGGTATAAAGTGAATCAAACTTAAGTGCATTGTTGAAGAATTGAGAAAAGTAAGTACCTAATGAATGTTGAAAGGTTGGTGATTACTACAAAATTTGTATAATGATGGCAATTAAAAGGGATGTTGATGCTTCCCAGTGTCATTTGAAAATATCTTTGCAAGTCTTTGTTACTTTTTGGAAGGCGTACTGTCACGCCCCGCCTATAAAAGTTACGCTACGCAGATACTGAATAGGACGCTGCATGGCGACTACATGGCATGAGAGTTTTTAGAGTCTTCCGAAATAGTTTAGAGTTGTGTGAAAGATTCTAGATATGTGTACAATATTGTAGAAGTATGTGGAAGGTTCTAGAATTCTCCAAAGTTGTGTGTAGTAGTATGGAGAGTTCTAGAATGTTGTAGATACTTGTAGATATATATAGAAGTGTGAAGAAGGTGGGAGAAGATTCTAGAAAATCGATCTCCACCAGCGGTTAGAATGCATCCTAGCCATCCATTAGGGATATGGGTGCTTATAAATAGGAGAATGACTTTATTTTGTAGCCATCAAATCCTGGAGTGAGTCTTAAAAGCCTTGTACAAAATATTCTTTGAAGTAATAGAAGTGTTCTTTCCTTTCCAACTTAAGTGTCTTAGTGTGTGTGAGTGTGCAAGCCAAGTGAGGAGAGGGCGAGGGCACTACAACACTAGTAAGCGCACGAGGGGAGTGTATTGGCTAAGTTGAGCACGGGAATTAGGCTAACCAAGTACTTACGGGAGGAAAAGTAACGTCTTGGTGCCGCACGGGGGTAACTAGAGTGGTGCTGAAACTCTAAGCCCGTGGCAGTACACTTCATAAAAAATGTGTAACTAAATAATTCCTTAACTCTTAAATCCTGACACCATTATGTGTCACCCATGGCCTATGAATTCTTCGGAGATTTTTATTTTTTTAAAAGGCAAGAAATATTAGAAGTTAGATTAGTAGATACAGATAGTCGAAGTCTGGCATTCAAAAAATTCAATGGAGGTACTAACCTACTAGACGATCGAGGCATCTGCATGAATTCTTCAGAGTGGGTCGGCATAATTTTATTATTATTATTATTATTTTCTAATCATAAGCAAAAAATTCACATACCCACATTGTTCTTATGAAAATCTGAATTCCCCACCTTCTATTTTAAAGAGTAAAATAATAATATTAAACAACACCCATAGATTATAATGGTATGAAAATAATTCAACCCTAAGTGCATTATTGAATAATTGAGAAAACCAAGTACCTAATGGATGTTGAAAGGTTGGTGATTACAACAAAATTGGTATTTGATGATTGATGACAATTAAAAGGGATGTTGATGCTTCCTAGTGTCATTTGAAAATACTGAGGTGGATATTGTCACATGAAAGAAACAAGACCTGATTTTACTAACTTCCTCATTCTCTCCAACCTAATTGGTGCCTATAAGTCTGCCCCATGTATCTAGATATATATATATATTTTTTTAAATTACTAAAAAATTATTATTTTAACCCCACATTTCCATCATGATGGCATGTCAAAGTAATAGAAGTCATAATTACTTTTCCTAAGACCTATGTGAGAACAAGATTTGTGACTTTTGTTACTTTGGATTAGTTGAGAAAATGCAAAACAAAAAAAATTCAATAGATCATTGGATTTCTCAATTGCAGCAACCACGTGATCAGATTTCTTATACAATCATCTATAATATTTTAATTTTAACAAATATTTTATCTTGAATAAAATCTCCAAGTCTTGGTTTATGATTTCAACAACTCATTAAAAAAAATATATATTCAACATTCTCAATTGATCTTGTGTTGCGTACTAAATTATCAGATTTTCTCCACCTAAAAGTATTACTTTCATTTGAATTCTCTCTGATAATCATTATGGTCTCTAGATTCTAGCAAAGATTAAAATAGCGTTTTGACAATAAAATAAAGGGAAATGACACCCACTGATTCAATTTTATTTATTTTTAATTAAAAATTTGACAAAATTGTCTATTAAAACGCACTCTCACTCCATAATTGTTATTAGAAGTACCTTTACACTCTGTTTGTGAAGAATAATCACTGTCAAATAATTTACTAAAAAAATTAAATGGAGTGGAATAATGCTAGGTACAATAAATGGTATTACTCGTAACCATAATGAATAAAATAGGATACGAAACTGGATGATCATGCAGCTATGGTGTAACCGTAAGTTTTTATTGTTAGAATAAATTATATTCACTTTATGTGAGATTTGGACAAAATACACACGGTTATACCGTTCAACATTTAGCTTTTTAATTTTTCCTAAATCCGTTCATTAGCTACCCAAAGATGATTTTGATTTATCCTATTGTTTTTTGTATTAGGAAAGAGTAAAATTGTTATTTTATAAAATTTGGTTAATAGGTTTGCAACTATAAGTGTTGTTGAGTACACATGTTATAATTGAGAGAAAAGGTCAAAGTAATAAAATTGAGTGGTTAATCTATATGTAATTTGTCCAAATTATTCTTATTATTATTTTTCAATTCCTTCAATAAAATTCCGAAAAAAAAAAAAAAATTTCCTTCGACAGCCCGGCCTTCTTCCCCCGGAGTCCACAGTTCATGCATGCATAGATTACTACGCATTATATTGGCAAAAGGTCATGCTGATGCACACAGACATGTATGCGTGTGGGGTCCATTTTTGGGTATGCATATATTTTTGCAAATAAACTGTCCAAGACTACTTATTATAGATGTCTTTCACAAAACGGATAAAATTTCAATTCAAATTTAATGGAATCAAAAAGATGTTACTGTAGGGATTGGGATTATAAATTTGGAAAAAATTTCTCTTCATTTACTTTTTCATTAGAGAATGTTCAATGAGTATTTAATAGTGGTGATTATCGCTACATATCTAATATAGTTTTGTTGTCGCCAAGTCACCGGTAAGTAAAAAATTTACTAATCATTTGTATTGAAATTCTATTAGTATATCATTTATTTTTCTTCCGTCCAAATAATGTGCACACGAATAAACAAACTGAATTTCAAGTTACCTCCAAACAATGTAAAATATGTTAAAATTTTTTATTTTACAGATTTTTTTTATGTTTCGGACCTTTAGATAAGGCTTTAAACTTTTAAAGTTAAAAAAATCATCTTCAACAATTTTATATTCCAGTAGGGATATTGGTTCAATTGATGTTGGTTTTAGTCAATCTCTGAATTGTAGTTAGTTCTTCACCAATTTCCTCTCAATGTGATGATGAGAGGAGATATTAAGTTAGTGGTTATAACTACGCGCAGCATTTGATATTGGCCATTATCACCTTGTTGGTGTGTGTGTGTGAGAGAGAGAGAGAGAGAGATGTGCCTATTGTGGTTGTGTTAGGTTTGTGGCAGGTGGTGGTCATGGAAGCTTAATGGTGATTTGTTTGATAGTGATGGGACACGGATAGCATTGGGGGGTGGAGATGAGTGGTGGTGGTGTTACTGGTGTAGACTACAATTAACTGGTGGTGGTGTTGGTTTTTTTAATTTTTTTAATTTTTAATTTTTTTAAAGTTTAAGTAAACGCCCACACACTCATTATAATTGAACACACGTGGTAGAAGAAGTCAAGAACTCCTTTAAAATGGAGGGTTTATGCCGGCCAGTGCTACTGGTTGGCTCGCCGTATCGCCGTATCCAAAGGAGGGGGTCCAAAGGAATATACAACAAAATTTAACTTGATTTTTTGAATAAAATAAATAAAATAAAATAAATTCCATTTGTTTCCTTTTGAGTAGACAAGAGTTGACTGGTTTACTTATTATGTTTTATAGATTTTTTTTCTTGGAAAAAACTTGCCTTGTCTGCATCAATAGGCCTCTCTGGTTTTTATGCTTATGTGAACCAACAACAATTTAACAGATTATTACAAAAATTAA